AGTGCCTCTGAGGGACAGAAGTCCTGAGTTCCAGTACAGAAGGGTGCAGAACCCTCAGAACTGAAGGTAAGAGAGTAGAGAATTGTAACATAAGATATGCTTAAGACTGAGTAATAAACAATATAGCTTACCAAGAAATAGGCTACAAGTTCAAGCCAAATCTTATAGACTGACAACAAGGAAGAGTTCAACACTCCAGGTTTTGGAGAGGATATAAAGACTGTTGTCCCAATTGAGTCTGATGAATTGATAGACAGTACTAGGGTTATACTAAATTCAACTACTGGATGATGCCTGCCTGTACTACTGAAGCTCAAATGGAAAAGCATGTTCAAACATGCCTTGATTCTATTCCTCTTGATTTCTTTCAAAAGTAAGTACTTTAAATCTTTCTTTCTTACAAAATTGATTTTATTATATGTTTTGTAGGTATTGTAACTGGTCTGCTCAGTTCATGAATGTATATAGAAAGGGGTTGACAGGAGCACAGGCTTAATGGGCAAATAAGAAATACTATAGCTATAGAATCCTTCCAGCTAGTATTCTGGCTGAGCTGTAAAACCATAATCTATATTTTTTTTGTATTTACAAGTGCTAAAAAAAATGTCAATGTCCACTGCTCGATTTTTGCCATCAGGGTCCTTCCTAATGGGGAAGTGGCTGTGCTGTGACTGATGTGACATACTATGTCAAGTTTATACTTTCCTTACCTTATCTATTTATTACATTGAATCACTGATGCACTGCCCTGAAGACTGGTCCATGCACGATGGACTGATTGCATATCAGCATCAAATGATATTCTTGCACGGGACAGTCACGGAGTGGCTCCAACGAGGGAAATGTTGGGACATACCAGACTACTACCTGTCACGTCTGTTTGTCTCTTCTCTGTCTCTCTCTACTGTCTTCATCCAAACTATTTCCAACCTGTTTCTACTATGCCATCGGAAAATTCATTTATTGAAATCGGCCTGATCTCAGTAATAGTAGAATCTATCCTCTTTGGTAATTACTATACTAATATATTTATGAGACATCATATTTTAATTGACGAGTTTGCATTGCCTACAGGAATTTTTTCTGTGCTCTTTGCACTCTGTGTCTACTTGCTCCTATGTAAGAAGATACTTTCGGGTGTGCCAAGGAGGAACTTTCTCCTTGCACTTTCGATTATGTATGCCCTAGCAATCGTAGTATGTACCTTTGTTATACAATCAGTTATATGTACATGTATAACTCACATTACCCCCTCATAGCATATTTCAGTCAACATCAAACGATGTCTGCAAGGCATTATTGATTTGTATTCGGGAAAGATTAATCCCTTGAACTTTTTAAATTCCGATGAGGGTGCTTTAAATGCAATTAGGCTTGTGGTGTACCTCCTGCAGAGTTTACTTGCAGACGGTTTAATGGTGCGTATAACACACTTACATATAACAATAAGTTTTAATGCTAAGCGCTACAGATTTACCGCCTTTATGTCGTTTGCGGTGTTAACTTCCGATTCTTGGGACCTGTCATTATATTGTTTGTTGGGAATATTAGTGAGTGGTGAAGAACATCTGAAATGCTTTAATAATTTGTGTGCTCAAACGTTGTATATACATAGTCTGTGGTGTTGGGACGATGGCTGGATATATTGAAAAAGGTTCCTTATTTCAATTTGGTACTAGTCCTCTATTGTGGCTAGAGGTGTTCTTCCTCATCACCTTGGCAATAAACCTCTTTGGAATAAGTACAAGCACATTCTTTAACATTACTGGATTATTTCTAACTAAATAAGTTCTGTAGTTTCGATTACAGTACGAATATGGTTGACGATGAGAAGAACATCAGGAATCTTACAATCACCCAGCTTCTCGCCCTTGACTGTAACACTTCTCGACCCCGGAATGGTTTATTCTGTCTCTCTTCTAGCTCTATTTGGACAATATGTAGCAAGCAGCCTCTCGTTCTTTGCTGCACTTGATTATGTGCGCCTCATTAGTTCATTCTTATTATATGGCATTTGTAACTAACACACACTTACAGGAGATACAAATCATTGTGAGGCTCATACCAAATGGTTTTGCACTTTGATCTATTAACGTTTTAATTGATAGGGAATCATGTTGTCTCTAATTGTTGTCCGTGTCTCGTTCAGGAGTTTATGGAACGGACAACTCAACATTTCACCTCCACAAATACATGTACATTGTATCCAAGCCCAGTCAACCGCAAGAAGGTATAGCCAAAGCACTCCACAGAGAAAGATGGACGGGGGATCTGCATCGACAGAAACTATAGATGTAGAATTGGAAGCAGTGCAGCAACATTTGTCATTCTGATTCAGAGGCAGACAGTATTTGTGATCACAACGAGGGAAATTAATGGATTATTTATATTGTTTGAAGCTGTAGTAGACATGCAATCATATATTCTCCTTGAGTTGAATTTTCATCCTTTATAATTTGTAATACCACAAAAACTTCCGGAATGAACATCACCAAAACGTGCAGAGTCTGACAAGGCAATATATTTACATGTAGACTTTATAAGCAAATATAAGGATCCACAATATGCAAAAAATATATGTCTTAGCATTAAATTCCAATACATTCTTGTGTTCATTTTGGTGATGAAGCCAGTGCTGTTGAGTGTAAATGTTTTGACCCAACCTAATTTTATCCTTAGTTTCGGTCTGACAGTTGTAATAATTGCGGAAAGCCCCGGAATTTTCGACTTCTTGTTATGTCGCAAGCTCGGTGCGCATTTAAACATGAATTTACTTTGATCGGAAAAAATGGGACTGCTACCGGTAGATTGCAATAATTCAAACTTACGTGTAAATGTTACAGACAGAATAGTGCTGAATGCAGAGGATGATAAATTCGGTACAAGTACAACTAAAGATTTACACGAAAAAGTCCTTGGGGTGATGAAACGAAGTACAGAAGAATGAGGTCCACTGCCGGTACAGAGCAGAATGCTAGTCATACAAGTACATCGTCATGAAAGTCATGAATAAAATGCTCAGGGAAGATACGTGAAAATTGTTTTTATTTTTATTTTTCCTGCGATACTAGCTATTACGTGTAGCGATTTCTGCAAATCGGATTTAATACTTGAAAAATGAAAAGATTTTCAGAACAGAACTGACTTTGCATGTGCTCGGTAGTCAGAATCCGCCGAGACAGCCTTCATCTTGATTCCCACGAGCGGCTCTATCCCTGTCGCCGAACCTGTCACGTACGGGGCTTCCACGAACACGACTACGACTTCTCCGACGTTGCTGAGTCGAAGATGGGGGTGATCTTTGGGTTTGCCTTGAATTACGCGTTGATGACCCGGATGTGTACGGATAGGGAGTGGCAGGGCGTTCAGCCGTGTACGGAGAGGAATGCGGATGCGGAAGGAAGGCAAGCTGCGCAGGATCACCTTTTGGGGATAGACGCAGAGATGACTGGGACGATGTTGCGGAAGTAGCTGATGCAGTGGATATGGAAGAAGCGGTTTTTGCGTAAAGGGGTCGCGTCGCAGATGCATTATTATCGGAGTCTTCGGACGTGTCTGATAGGTCCTGAATGAGGGATGGCGGTACAGACGCGTCTAGATAGATGCATAAGCCAACGGATTCATTATGTATGAAAACTCTTCGAAGTTCACCGTTTCTACTAGTATTGAATCCCGTTATCCTTGCTCGAGGGTGCATATGATCACCTTTTCGTCGAGGCCAGCCGCGCACGGGACTGCTATTCTCAACATCCATAGCAGCTTCACCGCTGCTGCCAGAATAAGTGCGACCAGGGCATCCACGCTCAGGCAAAGCACAGGAATTAGGTTGCACGGAGATGGGCGAGCGATCATACTGGTCTGGACTGTGAGCAAGGTGTGTGCGACTCAGAGCGTCAGGATGATTGGGAAAGTGAACTTTGGAATGGTTGATTCTTATTGCTCCTGAAGATGAGTATGGAGAGTCACTCTCGTCAGAGGACGTAGTGATGCGTTTCAGGATCGGGTGTGGATAAGGCATGATTAGGGCCAATTGACTTGAGTGGAGAAAGCTCCAAGGCTATGGGGGACGCGGATTGCATTGTGATACATACTGCTTTATATGCAGAATGGTGAACAGGTGAAGACCGAGGTGAGCGTCGAAACAAGAGCACGCTTGCGGGAAAATTAGACAGGGCGAAGTTCACGTGAGCGTTCAATCCAAACGCGTTGTTGGAGCACCATCGATGGTTTGTACCCTTTCCTTCATATCTTTCACGTCCCTTCATGCAGAAAATCCATGAAAATTGCGGTTGGACGATACGCGCCTTCTTGCTATCCATGTGGCCATTTTTACAGCGGGAACGCTGCGTCTGCTGACTTGCGCCACGCCCCGAACTCACACACTCATCACGGTGATCAGTCTATTTTGCCTTCGCCCTGCACGAGGGCACACCAGAACGCTCACGGGCGGAGTAGATTCCCTCATCCCCGTCTTCTTATCTCTGTCTGCTATTACTGAAATGGAAACGCTGACTCAACTGATGAGGTGGCCGACGATCGCGCTTTCTCATTGTCCATCTGGCCGTGCTCTTCGCATTAATATCCGGAAGGTCACCTGTTTGCATACTCTTCTAAGCTCCGCTTCATGCGGGTACCGTCAATCACGAAGTACAGTCTGTTAGCTAAACCCGCCTCCCACCTGTTTCACCAGCTGTCTATCTCCCGTTGTCACGCGACGCGGGAGGAAATAGACTCTATTCAAGGGGTACAATCGCGACAGTCCGACAAGGACTTGCACATTCCGAAACGCCGAAAGCTCGTCTGCAGACCATCCTGCGGCGTGTGTACGCTGCAAAATTGATATTAGAGGACACGCTTGTGCTGAGTTTGGTGTGAGCTTGTGATCTGCTATGGGAACCCTAGTTTTGTCTTCTCGCAACGCTTTATCTCGTGCTGCGACAGGGTAATATCAAGTTCATTTCCTTTGATGATCTTAGAAATTGTTTAGATGATGTTCTGAATTCGTAATTCCAACCTCGCGTTCGGTACCCAAGCTCATGAATGATTATAGCGGAAGGCTCCGCCTAGCTCTTCCATTACGTTCAGCTTTATTTGTGCGCACAGAGACCGGCTTGGCTTGCGTCTAGAGCAAATATGCACATTAGAAGGGGGCAGACAGAGCGAGTCAGACCACCTTCGCAGTTCTTGCTTGGGACCATTCATATGTCCATTGGAGCACAGTGACACACATCGATCATATCAGCTGAGGACCTTTCTTTTCGTGCTTCTCGATACTCAAATACCGAAACGCTGAGCAATTTGTTGCAATTAATATAATTGTTTTTGAAGCTACAGGCCTTCTGTTTGCAATATCTCTACCTCATAGCGTTGGAAATGACTACTCCTCTGTTATTTTCGCTCCACAATATTGCAACGACATGCTCTAAGCAATCGCTCTCACCTCTGCATCCCTGCATCTTAACTTTATCGGACTGCAGAGGAGAAAGCTATATACAATCTAACTGGTGAGCTTGTGTTACTTAAATTATCTTTGACTGCAATATTCACCCGCTGCGTTAATTCGGCTTTATGCACGTAGGTGAATGATTTGTCTGAAACATTTTTACCGCAGTTTTCTCGCAATTATCCTCTCTCGATATCTTCTTGATTTTATCTGAGATTGTCCGTGTTTTCAGATTAATTAATTTACGTTAAACCGAACAAAGCGAAAAACTCTGCTATGAGGCCTACTGAGGTGGCTTGTTGGTCTCATCTGCGAGTTCCTCGGCCGACGTGTTCGCTTTTTTTCTTGCTTCAGCGTGGTCAAGTGTTATGAGGTAGGACGGAAACGAGCTAGGGCTGAAACACTATAAAATGGCACACGTTTAAACAGTCAATCAACATATTCAAGCCTCTGTTGAATTTTGCTATCTTGTCTTTAACTCACTATGAAGTTCTTCACTGCACCTATCGTTGCTTTGACACTTGCCGCTTGTGCTCTAGCCCAGATTAGAGTCAGCCTCAACCCGTTCGTCCGCAATCCTCTTAACTAAAAATACTGAAGCACTAACATTTTGGTATATAGACCGAGACCGACAGAATGTGCACCGGAATCAATCATTATGAACGGAGGCAGACGTGAGCATTTTGTGTTTATACTCTATTTTCTAGATTCTAACGATGATCACAGCTCCCTATACTCTTGTGCGTAACATTGTTTATTTATCATGGTGACGAATTTGCACTTATATTTACCTGGAACATACCTCTATCCTCCAGACGTTCGTATTTGCATTTCCATCATCATACTATCATCATTCTCAGATTGCATCCATAGTATTACTGGACAAGGTGCTAGGAAGACAGAAATATATACTGCACCAGGAAGTACATTCAGATGGACAGAGGATTACAAGAGCGGTAAAATTTCTTATATCTGCACCCAAGCACAGAGCATATACTCATAATGACCAGGTGTGCCAATTCACGTCCACGTTGTTGGTTCTGGTCGTGCTACTGGAGATTCTCCGACTGTCACAGTTGCACCGGGAAGTACGTACATTTATTTATTTATTGATGATAGTTATATATCTGACAAACACGTAAACAGAGGGTGGATGTGCTCTTGTCTCATAAGTGCATCTCATGATTCAAGAAGAATATTGGTTGGGAAGGTTGTCATTTAGGCGATTATCGGAGTATAGAATCAACCCCAACTCACAGTAAAGAAAATTGAAAATACTAGGCTTGGGGGATAGGAGTAGAACGATTGGACGTTCAGTATTTCTAGTACATACTTTTGAATGGAAACATTTGCGCATGTACAGTGATCAGAAAGTCAATGTGCTCAATATATGTCAAAACAACGAGTGTATAAATCTCTGCAGACAGAAAGATATTCGGTGTGCAAAGACTTGATGCTAATCCCTCTCGATTTGAGGGACGCTACGCGATCTTCATACGTTTCTAGTCATGGATAGCGGGCGGGGAAGATGAAATCGACAGGCATTGGCAGATAGTGTATTTTGCCAGACAAGCGCTCGTTGCCGTTGAGGACAACCCTCTGAATGATATCATCAAGGATTTTCTGCAAATATTATTTATACATAACGACTCTCGGGAGCTCACGCTCAACAAACGCGATTACATTGTAGCAGAGCTCTGATAAGCTGCATTGTTTGCTTCATTAACACAAATAAATCCGACATCTCACATTTTCAAGCAACCGTCATTATTCATTCGTAGTGGGATTTCCCAAAATCCATGTGATAGAATTTGCGAGCAACGTTGCAACACTGTTACAAGCTCGATTTGAGCTGCATAGACTAATTGCTGATCTTGGTGAGGTCGTCGAATTACATCAAGCTACCCTGCAACTTCTCCCTAACAACCATTCAATTACTCCTCGACCCTCGACCGCTACATCGTGGTTCACAGTCTGCTGATTTGGACAGCATTGACAGACTGCGGGCCTCGACGAGGCTTGAGCATCATTAGGCTTCGCTTTGACAACCATCCCAAACGTTCCAACCCTTTAAACAATAGGCTTGCAATTTCCCTTCAAAGTCGATTTATAGTGCATGAACGGATTGTAGATTTAGATGGAGGGAATGAGAGTTATTGCGGTGCCCTGCAACCTCTCCCCAACAGTCGTTCCAACTGTCCCAACTCTCTGAATAACCCTGCAATTTCCCTTCCAATGAAGCAATTGAGCATCATCATGCCGCCCTGAGACTTTGTCCCGACAGTCATTTAATCGCTCTTTGTCTCTGAACAGCCTTGCGAATGCCCTCCAAACTCGATTCGAACAGCATTGGCAGGCTGCAGACATTGATGAAGCAATTGAGCATAACCGTGCTGCCCTCCTGCTATGCCAAGACAGCCATCCAAAGCATTCGAAGTCGGTCTGAAGGGCATGGGCAGACTGCAGACCACATGGAGGCAAATGGGCATTATTGTTGTGCTGCTCTGTAGTGTTGCTCGAACAGCCATCCCCACCTACCATACTGCTGAGCACACCCATGATAGTGCACACGATGAAGCCTGGCAGCCACGACGATGCGATTTGACGGGGGCTTGTAAGCATGATCGGCCCGATGTGGAAATACGATAAAGATGATGACGATGGCTGTCCAAGAAGGTGATGAATACAAAGTGGGTGGTCAGTAAATTATATAAATACCCGAAATGTTCCGTCAAGTACTGCTAATGAGTGTGGGAGATGGTTACCATATTAAGACAATGATGAGCGGCCACGGACCATCGCATGGAACGACGACCGACGACCACTCTCTTACACTTTCACCAATGACAACGACAATGAGCGGCGACAGTACGCCGTCGTTGACTCCCTCGCCCTCCCTCTCGCCCTCTCCAACAATTCCGGCTCAACCGGACCACTTCTACTCACAAGACGGCGATGGCCATCCAGCACCGTTCTCACCCGGCCACGCTTGGCTCAGTCCCGACAACGATCCCCTCGCGACAAAGGGAATTCCAGTCTTCAAGCCCACCATGGATGAATTCCGGGACTTCGAGGCGTACATGACGCGTGTAGAATTCTGGGGCATGCGCAGTGGCATCGTCAAGATTATCCCCCCGAAGGAATGGTCCGACGCACTGCCTTCTATCCTGCCGCAGCTTGCTGACGTGCGCATAAAGTCCCCAATCGAGCAGCACATGCTCGGGCGTGCGGGTATATTCCGTCAACAAAATATTGAGCGACGGAAAGCTGTCAGTGTACGCGAATGGGCAGAATTGTGTGCAAAGGATGACTACCGAGCTCCTGCTGTGGACGAGGTCGGTCTTAAATCTGCCGGGGCACATGCGCCATATGTAAAGAGAAAAAATAAGAAAAGAGAAACCACGATAGTCAAAGAAGAGGAAATGTCAACGAAAGACGAGTTTGAAGATGAAGCGGGCACTGATGACACTGTTTCGGTCCACGAGCTGCCTACACCTGCTCCCGGAGCCGACTCCGACTCCGAAAATGATGCCGATGCAACTGCAGAAGCAGAGACCGATGGTCACTCTACCTCGCGTCCTCCGGGTCGTCGAAAACGACAATATCCGACTCGAGCAGAGCGCGAAGCTACTCTTGCAATGCGTGCTGAACTCGATAAAGAATTCCTCCAAACGTTCGACCCAAAGATGGGTTGGCTTCCGCGAAATACCTCCGCTTCTGACTATACACCTTCGTTCTGTTCAACGCTTGAGCGACGATATTGGAGGAATTGTGGGCTGGGCAAGCCTCCTTGGTATGGTGCCGATTCCGCGGGCTCACTATTCACAGATGAAACGACGTGCTGGAACGTCGGTTGTCTCCCATCGACCCTTTCTCGCATTCTTCCTAAGTCTTCGGCTGGATTACCGGGTGTGAATACGCCTTATCTTTATTTCGGAATGTGGCGCGCGACATTTGCTTGGCACGTTGAAGACATGGATCTCTTCTCTATTAACTACATTCATTTCGGAGCCCCGAAGTTCTGGTACAGTGTACCACAAGGACGCGCGATGCAACTCGAGAACACGTTGCGAAGCTTCTTTCCACGAGATGGTGCGAAGTGTCGACAGTTCCTTAGACATAAGTCGTTCCTAGCAAGTCCAACATTACTTGCCCAGTCTGGATGCAAGCCGAATATGCTTGTACAACATGCTGGAGAGTTTGTCGTGACATACCCTCGAGGATATCACGCCGGTTTCAATCTCGGGTTCAACTGTGCGGAGAGTGTGAATTTTGCGCTAGAGAGCTGGCTCGATATCGGGAGAAAGGCTCAGGCATGTGGGTGTGTTGGCGACAGGTGTGTATTCTCTGATTCTAGGCAGACGCACAGTCTCATTCCTTTGAAGCGTGCGCATCAACGTTGATGAACTTCTGCGAGCTCAGGAAGAGGAGGCCGCCCTTGAAGCGTCTAAGCCTGCTCCAAAGCCTCGTCGAAAGAAACGCAAGTCTGAAGGCGATGCTCAGCCGAGAGCAAAGAAGCAAAAGATTTCTGATGGTTCTGCGGAAGATATACCATCGTCATCGTCTATCGCACCCAAACATAAGATTTTATTAAAGGTACCAAAGGAACTCGGTCCTTTCCCGTGCTGCTTATGTGTATCACGCGATACGGATGGTCTACTGCGTGTACACGATCTGCCATCTTCGTGGTCAGGTTGCCAGAATTTTATGCCAAAAGATGCGTCTGGGCAAGAGATCTGGCGTGCACACGAGAAGTGCGCAATGGCCATCCCAGAGACATGGGTCGACGACGATACGGACGATACAGGTCAAACGGAGAGGGTAGTTTTCGGTATAGATGTAATTGTAAAGGACCGGTGGTCCTTGGTGAGTATTTTCGCTAACATTTCGTTGGGTATCCAATAACCAGTTGCCTCAATAGAAATGCTCATTGTGTCAGAAATCACGTGCAAGACTACACGGAGCACCTATTCAATGCACAAAGGGCAAGTGTCCGAAGGCATTCCATATCTCCTGTGCGCGTGATGGAGGAGGTGAAAACCGTGTCCACTTTGCTGAGCTCCGTGAGATCGAGAAGGAAGTCATCTCAAATGACATTGTTCCTCCTGTCGAGCAACTCAGCGAGCTTATGGATATACCTAAACCGACCTTGCATGTTGATGGAACCGACGCAGAACCACCCATATTCCCTACGCTTTCATCAAACGTCGTGGTGGATAGTCAGACTCTTGGTGCAACCCCACAACCCAACGTCATCAAGACAATCAAGAAGATTGAGTATGAACTATTATGTACCCAGCATAATCCAGTACGTCCCATATTTTGTCTGCCTGCACTGCTTCTCACGACCCTTTGCAGGTTGTAGTCGCGGCAAGACGCGCAAACAAACAAGACCGAGTTCGAAACGAACTGCTCGCTCTTCCTGTGATGTCCCGGATAAAACTACGCGTCTCTGCTGGTGTCTTCGAGGTGTCTCTTCTGTCTGTGAATGAAGAGCGGAATACTATCGAAGTTATCTGGGATGACGGCATCCGGCGCGAGTTTAAGTGGAGTAGTCTCGTTTGGGGTAAAACTGACCAGATGGTCGGTCATAAGCCCACCGTTGCCGCACCTGAGCGTGAGTTGATTTCGCCATCTTTAAGTCAGAAGTGGGATCCTAATGTCTCCTTAGAACCAAATTTCCCTAAGCTGAACGTCCGTTTCACTCCCTCTTACGCAACCGCCTCCTCGTTGAGCTCTTATACTGGACAACCACCGCCAACCCATCCAGCTAACTTTGCAGGTCCAAGTAACCCCAGCCAAACCCCTCCATATTCCACCTTTACAACAACTCATAGCGGCGACGGCCGGTTTGGATATAGTGAACGGCCGAATTCATATATGGCGTTTCCGAGCGGTGGCGGCCAGGCATCTTCGGTTTCCCCGGGTCAATCTACCTACCCGTACTACGGTTATTCTACAGGCTTTCAATCAGGAGCGGCGTCTATGGCTTGGCATCCTCAATTCTCTTCAGCGTTCCATGAGACTGTTGCTTCTACTGTTGCTTCTCTACCAGCAAGGTCTGGGTTAGGCAATGTCAGTGGACCTTCTGCAGGAAGGGATCCTATGGCAACTTCCGTGTCCCCTGTCCCAGCGATGAATAGTCTGATCAACGCAGAGCACCCAGTATCAGTTAAAACTGTTACTGCGAGTGAGAGTGGGAACGGACAACCACCAGAAGTGATCGCGGCTGTCGAGGAGATACAAAAGCTTTCCTCTTTGGAGCCTGATAGGTTACAAGCGGTCTTAAGCTCTCGACCTGCGCTGCTTGAAGCAGTCAAGATGCTCGTCGCACAACAGGCAGAGGCTGCTGCTTAGCCAGCGCGTGCGAGCACAGAGTTGCAAAACCCTTGACTTGACTTTGGTTGTACCAACATCGTCCGGATTTTTCCCTTTTGTGAACATTATTAAAACAATATACACGTCCTCCCTCCGTTGTTGTTATGCATCCGACTTCCGATTCGATTCATCAACGACATCCGTTTTCCGTTTTTATATTCTTATTATAAACGTGTCTGTTACGTTCTGCTTATTCATTTTGATCCAACTCCATTCTTCCACCCTGCCATTAACGATTGTTTCAATGTTTATTCACTATACTTACTGTCTGTCTAAGCTTGTATACAATAAATCTGTATATTTTTCGGACGGATTCTGTTGATGAGATTTGTCATTCGCACTGTTAGTCTACTTTGATTCAGACTGGCTGTATGTATTACTGTATGTGGCCGGCTTTATAATTTACATGATAATCATATACCATTAAAGTTGTATACAATTCGGACGACTGAGCATTTACACCAGATTATATATACATTCGGCTTTCTCAAGTTAAGTGAATGTTCAGAATAAGCAAACTTTACCAATACTGTCATAGAAACAAATCGGAATCTCTTCATCAAGATCAGGAAGCAACTAGAAGATTAATCATTACAGTAGTGCTGGTTCCAGTGATAATGCAGTATGCTACGTTGATTAAACAAATACTTGTGTATGATATCACGGGACTGATATAATTTGCTGTACGGATAGTCAGTATTGGATACGAGCGCATATACGAAGAACAGGGGGTATATTTAAAGAAACAATGCATCATGAGAAACTGAAAGCAAAAAATGAAATTCATCCGAGGGCATGCCAATCGAAGGATTCGAAGCTGCTATCTTGACATGAAGAAGTAATTCGGTGTGTAGAGATATTTTCGTGGAGAATCTCCCGCGAGGCATGACAGAACATTCGACAGAGGCCGGATCTTGAAAATAGATGACAATACCATAATGGTAATGTCTGGCTTGGCAGGTGGACGCTTTGACGGTGCAAATCAGCATGAGGAACTTGTCAGGGACATATGGTTTACTGCTACGAAGAGTCTGGAGGAAGTAGAGCTCCCGCGAGGCATTAATCTCGCCTTTTATTATTAAGTCTACTGAAATTGAAGCCAGCCTCTGAGTCCAGGAGTAAATGGACCAAAGACACGAACAGAATGATTATAGGCTAGGTCTGTAGATCCCGAGGGCTATACCCTAAGAGAGTTCAAATGCAGCACTAGAAAGGATGATGATCTGTCCTCAGTCGAGGGCGTGAATGTGGACGTTGAAAATGAAAATCTGTCTTCTCGGAGTTTGTAGATATGATCCCGAAGTGTCAAGAACGAGTCTGGGGTCAGGACCATGTGTGTTTTATCACTTCATGGACAGAAAATCACTGATAGTCAACCTTCGACACAAAGAATCGCATGACAAACAAAATGAAGCAATAATTATAGCTGGTAATCATGAATTTCCGGAACTTTCTGGACTCAGAGAGTGCCAGCAGATAGGCGAGAAGAGGCGTTGATTGGGAGGAAGAGGATGTGAGATAGATTGCACCGCTGAGGGCTATGAAGAAGGCGACGCTGTGTGGGAACGACTTGCCACATCACGATCGCTCACACTTATCCTCGTGCTATCATGACTGTGGCGGTAGTGCTTGAAACCTCATTCGCGTGCATAACTACATTATTATTTCGCATATTCAGCTAGTTTTGTATTTCGTTGGGCTATATCCGAATGTCAGTCCACGAGAGTACCTCCTTCTCAGTGATTTCAGAGCACGCGATGCCTTCAAACCTATCATAGGTAGGCATATGCACATCCTCGAACCTCTGACTAGAACAAGATGCTCTCGTACTTCTATCTATTTTCAGAGTGATAGCTCTGGCACTGCTTGGCGGGTCCGTATCTACTTGTCTCTTGGTATAAAACATGATATCCGCGACGCTTTTCGTACCCCACTCTCCGTGGATTTTCTCGAGAGACAAGCTTAATACCCGAGGTTTTACGCTGTCACTATGTTCGCTGCCAAGTTTGCTTATCTTGTCTTCGCGTCTTTTGTCGCTGCTGTCTCTGCATCTCCGCTGTTCAGCAGTTTCGTTCTCCATGAGCAGCGCACTGACATCCCCGATGGCTTCGTTAAGGTCGGATCTGCACCTGCAGATCAGGTCCTTAATCTTCGACTAGCTCTCGTGAACAACTATATGAATGGCCTGGAAGAAAAGCTCTATGCTGTCAGTACTCCTGGAAGTGCACTGTATGGCCAACATCTTTCTAAGGAGGAGGTCAGTTTGTTTGAGGATCTATCATTCACGGAGGCTCTTGCTCATACATCCATCCAAGGTCGAGGAATTTGTTAAACCAAGTCAAGACTCGATCAATATCGTTAACCAGTTCCTTTTGACCCATGGGATAACCGCGACAGTCGCTTCTCCTGCATCCGACTGGCTTACTTTTTCCGTCCCGGTATGTACATACATGATACCAGCGATATACGTTAGCATATGCTGAGAAGTAAGTAGGTTAGCAAAGCCAATAATATGTTCCAGGCAGACTTCTCGGTCTTCCAGCATGAAGAAACTGGGAAGCAGTCTATTCGTACCCTTGCATACTCCATCCCGACTGAGCTCCAGGGACACTTGAATCTGGTTCACCCAACTATCACGTATGTCTGATCTTCGTGAAACAATTACCATGAAATGCTCACCATTGGTAACTATTAGGTTCGACAACCCCTTCGCCCATCTACCAGTTGTTTCTAGTCCCTTGAAAGCCGTTGCCGAAGAGCAAAATCTCACAACTCGTGCTGTTCCGTCCTCGTGTGATTCGACGGTCACTCCCGCATGCTTGCAGGCAATGTATGGTATCCCAACGACGAAAGCGACCCAGTCGAGCAGCACGCTCGGCGTTTCCGGTTTCATTGGACAATTCGCGAACGACGCGGATCTCCAAACTTTCCTTGAGAGCCTGCGCCCGGATCTAGCTGGAACAACATTCTCATTGCAAACTCTTGACGGAGGCGAGAATCCTCAGGATCCAAGTGAGGCAGGCGTGGAGGCGAATCTGGATATCCAATATACCGTTGGAGTGGCAAGTGGCGTGCCAACTACATTCATTTCTGTAGGCGAAAATAACCAGGATGGCGCTCTCGAAGGTTTCCTTGATATCATCAATTTCTTACTCGGTGAAAGCAACCCTCCTCATGTCCTCACGACTAGGTATGCCATTGTCTACGCTACTTCCTTCAATACATTCAATTTACTAACGTTACTCATAGCTATGGTCAGAATGAAAATACTATTTCAAGCAATCTTGCAAAGTGGGTAGCCTGATTCTCAGTATGTACTTTATCTGATGGTATTGATGTTCTGTCCAGTCAACTGTGCAATGCTTTCATGCAACTCGGCGCTCGCGGGACTTCAATCCTATTCGCTTCCGGCGATGGCGGTGTATCAGGTTCTCAATCCGGGCAATGTACAACTTTCCTTCCGACGTTCCCAAGTGGATGCCCATTCATGACCTCTGTTGGGTAAATACATCCGCATCATGCACCTAAGAAACGTCTCCGATTTAAATCTTTCTTCTACAGAGCCACGACCGGTGTCACCGAAACTGCTGCCGATCTTTCCTCCGGTGGCTTCTCCAACGTCTTCAACCAACCATCTTACCAAGCCTCAGCTGTCTCAAGCTACCTTGACGCACTCGGCTCAACAAACAGTGGCAAGTTCAACCCTCAAGGACGCGCATTCCCAGACATCAGTGCACAGGGTGAACATGTTGAAATCGTCGTCGGAGGCGAAACCGGCTTGGTCGCGGGTACCAGCTGCTCGAGCCCTATCTTCGCAAGTGTCATCTCTTTATTGAATGACAGGCTTATCGCCGCTGGTAGTTCGCCCTTGGGATTCTTGAACCCGTTCCTCTACAGCGCTGGTGCATCAGCGTTGAATGACATCACTACTGGTGCGTGTTTTCCCACTTTCCTATTCCCGACATTCGAAACACTGACAGCTGAATATTTAGGATCTAACCCTGGATGCAACACGAATGGTGATAATTTACTCTGTCTATTAAAAGAGGGATATACTAAATATATCTCGTACAGGTTTCCCTGCAACGGCAGGGTGGGATCCAGTTACTGGTCTCGGAACGCCTAATTTCGCAAACCTTCTCACTGCCGTTGGTCTGTAGAACACTACCAACTTGTTACTGAGGATGTAATTATTTTCTTGCTTTCATTACTATCTTTGAGCAATTAAGGCTGTGATTGTCAAAAGACTTATAATGTTGTGTATTATGTATAATGTATTGAATCAAATGAAATGAGAATATATCTTGACTTTTATTGCTTTTAAAAATAAATTATACTATTAAGAGTAGGTTAAATTGTTACTCATATATAAACTATATAGTTTAAGTTGTGTACTTTCTACTACTAAACCTTAGAGCCTTTTATGGCCAACCCTGACAGGCCTCTCAACTTGCAAATTTCTAAGTTCTTATACACTATTTTATACTCAAATTACTCCTTACAAAATACATAATTCTTCTTCTTAATCCTTAACTTACCCTAATCCTAATCTCAAACTTATTCTAAACCTAATTGAAAAGTAGAGCCCCTCAAACCCCCTATTCTAACATTCTAACTCCTTTCATAGTAGCTGCACAACTACTGTCCTTAATAAGTAAGCTCTGTCAGGGTTGTTTATAAAAGGCTTAGAGTTTAGTAGTAGAAAGTTAAGTTTATTTAGTTTATACAATTTGTATATACAATTTGTGTATGAGTAATAACTTATCTATCTTTTGTATAACAAATATGTAAGTGATTAGGTAATTTGATTAGAAACAACTAACAGTAGTTTATTCATTTATGACTTTAATCTATAGTAACTTATATAAGTAATTTATAAACACATTATTATAAATTAATCTTTCTTTACAAGTGTATTAACTTTTCACATTAGTACTTATTAAAATCTTAAGTTATTACTCAAAGAATGAGTGTAGTACCTGTTTTTAATGATTATATTTGTTTGTATGTCTTAAGTGTATATTTTAGGTATTATTATTATTATAGTACATAATACATATATTTAATACATATCTTATATAAGTAAGAGTAGAAAATCTCCTCTTTCTGAAAGCAGATCTGTATTACTTTATACAGAAAGACTTTACTAATCAACTATCTGTTTTACACATCTTGTACAATTTATACATTATAAATTAGTTTTTTTTTGTATAACAGACAACTTTATATCTTATAAACAATTTGTTTTACTCAAGAAGACTTGTATTAATAGAGTACTTTATAACTAGTAACTATACAACAAGTGTTTTAGATTGTTACATACTAACCCTTTCAAATTAGATAAAAGACTTACTATACTCACTTGTAATATTAAAATATACACACTCTTACTGTTATTCACTCACTCAACTTGATTCAATGTCTCTTTCTGCTTTTTATATTTTTATTATAATAAAAATGTCTGTTTCTGTTCTGTTTATTTATTTAAACCCTTCCCCTTACTCTCTACTATTCTACCATTAACAACTGGTTTGATATTTATTTAATTATACTTACTACCTGTCATAGTCCTATATACAATATATTCTGTGTATTTTTCAGATGGATTCTATTGTTGAGAGATTTGTCTTTTCCATTACTACTGTTGGTATGTATTTCAATTCAGACTGGTTATTTGTATGTAGCCAGGCTCATAGTTCTTACACCCCAGTTATATACTATTAAAGTTGTATACAACTCAGACAGTTGAGCATTACCTTCAGATTTAATATACATTTAATATACAATTGGCCTTCTTAAGTAAATGTTCAGAACAAGCAGACTTTACCAATACTGTCATAGAAACAAATCGGAATCTCTTCATCAAGATCAGGAAGCAACTAGAAAATTAATCATTACAGTGGTGCTCGATCCGGTGATATTGCAGTATGCTACGTTGATTAAACAAATACCTGTGTATGACATCAAGGGACTAATATTATTTTCTGTACAGACAGTCAGTATTAGATACGAGCACATATACGAAGAACAGGAGGTATATTTAAAGAAACAATGCATCACGAGATCGGAGAAACTGAAAGCGAAAAATTAAATGCATCCGAAAGAACTTAGAAGGGCATGCCAATCGAAGCCAGCGTCTTGACGTGAAGAAGTAATTCGGTATGTGGAGATATTTTCGCGGAGTATCTCCCGCGAGGCATGACAGAATATGTAACAGAAGCCGGATCTTGAAAAATATATGGATGACAATGCCACAATGGTAATGTCTGACTTGGCAGGCGGACGCTTTGACGGTGCAAGTCAGCACAAGGAACTTGTCAGCGACATAGAGGCGTATGCCCTTCTGTGACGAAGAATTCGGAGGGAGTAGAGCTCCCGCGAGCATCAATGAGACAATGGTTAAGTTTACCGAAAATGAAGTTCTGATAAGCCAGTCTCGGAGTTCAAGAACCAAGATACAAAGGGAATGACTGTAGACCAAGAAACAGTGTAAGACTTGAGAACAGCGATTCCAAGGGTTTTAAAGGAGGGGGGGGGACTGGAGAGGATGATGATCTGTCTGTAACTGAGGACGTGAAGTGGACTGCAGGTGTTGGAAGCAGCGCTGCGTAATAGATCTGACGCGATCATTCAGGAGGCTTGTCGGCGAATGTGGACATTGAAGATGAAAATCTGTCTTCTCGGAGTTTATAGATAAAAGCCCGAAGTGCCAAGAACGAAGGCTGAGGTCAGGAGCATGTGTGTTTTATGAGTTTATGGATGGAAACTCCCTGATAGTCTGCCTTCGACACAAAGAATCGCCTGACAAGCAAAATGAAGCAGTAATTATAGCTGACTATCATGAATTTCCGGAACTTTCTGGGCTCGGAAGAGAGTGCCAGCACATGGGTGAGAAGAGGCGTTGATTGGGAGAAAGAGGATGTGAGATAGATTGCACCGCTGAGGGCTATGAAGAAGGCGACGCTGTGGGAACGAGTTGCCACGTCACGGTCGCTCACACTTATCCTCGTGCTATCATGTCTGTGGTTGTAGTGCTTGAAACCTCATCCGCGTGCAATACTACATTATTATTTCGCATGTTCGGCTGGTTTTGTATTCTGTTGGGCTATATCCGAATGTCAGTCCACGAGAGCACTTCCTTCTCAGTGATTTCAGTGCACGCGATGCCTTCAGACCTATCTTAAGGAAGCATATGCACATCCTCGAACCTCTGACTAGAACAAGATGCTCTCGTACTTCTATCTATTTTCAGAGTGATAGCACTGGCACTGCTTGGCGGGTCCGTATCTACTGGTCCCTTGGTATAAAACATGATATCCGCGACGCTTTTCGTACCCCACTCTCCGTGGATTTTCTCGAGAGACAAGTTTAATACCCGAGGTTCTACTCTGTCACTATGCTCGCTGCCAAGTTTGCTTATCTTGTCTTCGCGTCTTTTGTCGCTGCTGTCTCTGCATCTCCGCTGTTCAGCAGTTTCGTTCTCCATGAGCAGCGCACTGACATCCCCGATGGCTTCGTTAAGGTCGGATCTGCACCTGCAGATCAGGTCCTTAATCTTCGACTAGCTCTCGTGAACAACAACATGAATGGCCTGGAAGAAAAGCTCTATGCTGTCAGTACTCCTGGAAGTGCACTGTATGGCCAACACCTTTCTAAGGAGGAGGTCAGTCTGTTTGAGGATCTATCATTTACGGAGGCTCTTGCTCATAAATCCATCCAAGGTCGAAGAATTTGTTAAACCAAGTCAAGACTCGATCAATATCGTTAACCAGTTCCTTTCGACACATGGGATAACTGCGACGGTTGCCTCTCCTGCGTCGGACTGGCTTACTTTTTCCGTCCCGGTATATACTTACCACTGACAGATGCTTGCATGTGCTGAGAACTAAGCAGGTTAGTAAAGCCAATGATATGTTCCAGGCAGACTTCTCGGTCTTCCAGCATGAAGAAACCGGGAAGCAGTCCGTTCGTACCCTTGCATACTCCATACCGACTGAGCTTCAAGGACATTTGAACCTGGTTCACCCAACTATCACGTACGTTTAATCTTCATGAGACAATCATCACAGAGTGACTCACACTTAGCAACTAATAGGTTCGAAAACCCCTTCGCCCATCTACCAGTTGTGTCCAGCCCCTTGAAAGCCGTTGCCGAAGAGCAAAATCTCACAACTCGTGCTGTTCCGTCCTCGTGTGCTTCGACGGTTACTCCCGCATGCTTGCAAGCAATGTATGGTATCCCAACGACGAAAGCGACCCAGTCGAGCAGCACGCTCGGTGTTTCCGGTTTCATTGAACAATTCGCGAACAGCGCGGACCTCCAAACTTTCCTTAAGAGCTTGCGCCCGGATCTCGCTGGTACAACGTTCTCATTGCAAACTCTTGACGGAGGCTCGAACCCTCAGAGTGCAAATGAAGCAGGTGTGGAGGCAAATCTGGATATCCAGTATACCGTTGGAGTGGCAAGTGGTGTGCCAACGACCTTCATTTCTGTTGGCGAGCGCTTCCAGGACGGCGCTCTTGAAGGCTTCCTTGATATCATAAATTTCTTGCTTGGTGAAAGCAACCCTCCTCACGTCCTTACGACGAGGTCTGTCCTTACGCTACGTCCTTTATTGCACACCATTTACTAAAGTTTCCCATAGCTACGGTCAAAATGAAAACACTATTTCGAGCAATCTTGCAAAGTGCGTAGTCTCGTCATCAGCATGTACTTTATCTGATCATAACGATATCTTGTCCATAGCCAACTGTGCAACGCCTACATGCAACTCGGTGCTCGCGGGACTTCAATCCTATTCGCTTCCGGCGATGGTGGCGTATCAGGTTCTCAATCCGGCCGCTGTACAACTTTCCTCCCAACGTTCCCAAGTGGATGCCCATTCATGACCTCTGTCGGGTAAATACTTCATCATCACGCTTCTAAGAAACGTATCTGATATAAACATTTCCCTCACAGAGCCACGACTGGCATCACCGAAACAGCTGCCGATTTCTCCTCTGGTGGCTTCTCCAATATCTTCTCGCAACCGTCTTACCAAACCCCAGCTGTCTCAAGCTATCTTAACGCACTCGGCTCAACAAACAGTGGCAAGTTCAATCCTCAAGGACGTGCATTCCCAGACATCAGTGCACAGGGTGAAAATGTTGAAATCGTCGTCGGAGGCGAAACCGGATTGGTCGCGGGTACTAGTTGCTCGAGTCCTATCTTCGCGAGTGTCATCTCTTTGTTGAATGACAGGCTTGTCGCGGCTGGCCGTTCACCCTTGGGATTCTTGAACCCGTTCCTCTACGGCACCGGTGCATCAGCGTTGAATGACATCACTACTGGTGCGTGTTCTTGTACTATTCTCGACGTTCGAAACACTAACGACTGAATATTTAGGATCTAACCCTGGATGCAATACTAATGGTAATTATTAATAGTATGTATCGAAATATGCAATGAACTAAACACACCTCGAACAGGTTTCCCTGCAAAGGCGGGGTGGGACCCGGTTACTGGTCTCGGAACGCCTAATTTCGCGAAACTTCTCACTGCTGTCGGCCTATAATGTAATTCTGATTTGTTAAGAATACGTTGATTTTCCTGTTTCTTTTTACTATCATTGGGCAATCAAGGCGCTGACTATGACAAGAATTAAACTGTCCTGTATTATGTATAATGTACTGAGTCAAATGAAATGGGGGTAAATCTCGACTTTCCTCGTCTCAAAAGATTGACTATGTTGTTAAGAGGGGGTTAAATTGTCACTCAAATACTAACCGCATTGTCTATGTAATTTGTGTACGAGCAATAATTTTATCCGTGCTCGGCATGGCAGATTGGGTAATCGGATTGGGAACAACCAACAGCAGTTCGGTCATTAATTCAATCCTTGCCGTCGTAAATGTTAATCCACAAACGTACTGCCACAAACCAAACTTGTTTACTTCTCAAATTTATCGACTATTCACATCAGTACTAGTAATTCAAACTAGTTTTCCAAGTCCACGATTAACTGCAGCTACAGGCAACCGTTGTTATCTGCACGAAACGTTAAATCGTTAGATCACAATGGCGTTTAAGGCGAATAATTGCGCGTACCGCTGGCCTGAATAGTGAACGGCGCGGTTTGAGCTATATCGCCTTGAGAGTCTTGGACCTTGATTGCAACCGACGTGCCTACAATTAAAGAATATCAATATTCAGGATTCACTAGTTTACTATTCAGAAAGGGAAAAACTCACCAGCCGGAACGTTGGTATCCCATAGCACAGAGGTGCCCTGCTGCTCGCCAAGATCAACGAGTGCAGGTCCATTAGGGTTTGCAGCAGAAACGATCCTGTAGCATTTATGATCAGTTACTCCTCCCAAGTCCTAAAGACATTAACGACTCACAGCTATATAGTGACGCGAGTTGTTGATCATTCAATTGTTTTGATCGTTTCTGTAGCAGTATAACGGACTTACAACTTCAAAGGGCGCTAAAGAAGATGAAGACAATGAGTTCACAATACACGTTGTGTCCACAATAGAGATTCCTTACCAGCTCCTCCAGTCCATTCTATTACCTCGTTCTGGCACTGTACGGCATCTGCCCTGTATGACAGGTGAGGTATAATCAATACATTAAGATGCATCTCGAAGACAATAGGACACATACGGCGTGTCGACGGTAAATGGCTGCTGAGCGTATACAACAGCAACAAGGGCAGTGACGGGGGCAAGAGCGAACTTCATAGTACGACAGTGCGAGCTGTATGACTGAGGAGGAATAGAGCCGCAGGTAGTAAAGGCAGTGACTTTCCTGCAGACATGTTTCCTCTCTTTAAATAGGTGAAGAGTAACGGCCAGGCGCGGAGGAATCAAAGACAATGATTAATCTCAGTTGCCCAGAAGCGAAATCAACGTGATATGCACTGGCTTTGTGGGGTTATGAAGGCAATATGCAATACGCACATTTAGACGATCTTTGATACCCGTTAAAAATTGCCGTACTGTTCAGTCCATTCATTCGACAGTTAGTCGAAACATACCTAAAAAAAGATGTCGAAAATTAGACCAGATATGTGCTATTTTTGAACTTTGATTTCAAAGCATTAATCATTAAGGTGATGTTATCCTGCATTGAATGTATACTGCATATACCCTTAATCACGGTCTTGATGCGCCGCGCGAGAGTATGTACTATGTTCGGCCGCAAAATCTATCAACGTAATTTCGTGTGACTGTCGGGAAAATAGAATGCTAGAATGAGCTCTTAATGTTCAAGATGAATACGAGCAAAGCACTGCATCACATAACACAGCCCTCTCGGCCGAGAGTTTAATCAGGCCGACATGTTAAGCACCTCCCAGATCTCTGTTTAATTTCAATCTCCTCATTCATCTCTATAAAAACATATGGTGAATTCATCAAAGCGCAGCACTTCACTACTGTTGAGCCTGGCGCTTCGCCACATATCGATGGAGACCTGAGGCAGTGTCCCCGCACGTTAATATAGATTATCCCCGTTCGATGTTAATAACGTAGATGTTGAGGTTCATGATCGAAGACATGCTGCGGCGAAGGAGAATGGGATATTTTTGGATCTCAAGCCAAGACTTTTAGTGACGAGTGGACGGCAGACTTATCGCCGGAGAGAAGTATGCGCAGGAAGTTTATTATTGTTATGGAGGTCTATGAAGGCATGGTCTTGAGTAACGGTGAATGCTAAACAAGCATTACGCGAAGTTCCTGTTAAAAGTATGAGAGTAAACGATATAATATTGTGAGTAAACCTGAAAGAAAGGCACGATTCGTGAACTGGAGACAAGAACGGTGTGTGACCCAAGTACGAACTACATTTCATCAACGCTCCATTGATAACTTTCCAAACCCCTTCGTCTTCGTTCGTTTTGCTTCTGAAAGAATTTCTTCTCAAAGCCATTACTTCGGTCAACACCATCCCATCGATAGCCTGGTTTGATTCCGAAACGGTTAGGTGGCGGGGGAGGACCGGTGTATTCTGGTTTACGAGGGCCTTTCGAACGTTTTTTCTGACAGCCAAGTCCAAGTACTATTAGTTATCAAATTAGCGAAGGTAATTAGGGATAGACATACGGTGAGAAACTGTGCCGCAGGGTCATTCCATCGCATAGTGGACTTCTGTTCTTCATTTAACTCCCTGTCGTCTGCGTACACTGCTAGGTCGCGTTTCTTCTCTTTCTCAAGCTGTTCCGCCCGCTTCGCAGCATCTTCTCGCTGCACCACGCCCTTCCCCCATTCCATCTTTTGCGCCTCCTTCTCCTCACGTTCCCGCTTTTTCCGTGCCGCCTCAGCTCGTTCAGCTTTCGTATCTATCTTTCTTCCAGTGGCATCGCGATATACCGTTTCTTGTGCGAGCCGGGCTTCCTCTTGTTCTCGCGCAATATCGGCTTCTGTTCGTTTTCCCTTTCCTGCACTCGCGTCTTGTCCTGGCAAATTCTTCTTGAGATCGGCAGCGTTTACGAGACCGCCAGCGAAGGGCTCTTCAACGACCTGAGGCTTCTCGTCTGGAGGTGGGCTCGCGTCCTCTCTCTTTACGCCTTCCCGCACGGTTGCCCAACCAGAGCTCTCTTCTCCGTTATCAGCTATCCTGCGCTTCTTGAAGCTCCTATCCGAAGCAACCACAGCCTCCGCCATGTCATCCGCATCTTCATCCATGCCTTGACCTCCATTACCCCACCCACTGTCGTCGTCGACAATCAAATTCACCCCACTTGGGCCGGCGGTCGTTGATGAAGTCGTGGCTGTCTTGCGTTTCTTCTTCTTTTTCTCAGGAGCTACACGTGAGAGGATGGCATCAGCCTTCGGGCCTGACATATACCGTTCGGCGAGGTATGCCTGCATATTGCCAGAATGTGTGAAGATAACGAAGCTTGAGTAAATGGAGTTGAGTGAGAACAATGCTGAAAGCTCAGGCAGCATTATAGGGCTGCACGTGATTGATTTATTATATAATAAACATTTTATTCGTTTTATTCAACTTCCATATCCTATTGCATATATAAGAGTTCATTCTCATCTTTCGACGTGTAATGACTTTTTATACATTCACGCGATCGTGCATTGCAGCCGAGGTACAAAATTTGCTACCTTCATATTCACAGATTTCTTCCATTATAATAAAAGTACAAGGTTAAAATGGATGATACCACGCATACGGCCCAGTCCCTAAGAGTCGAAAAAGGCTATGAACTCTTCCTTGTTCGCCTCAATGAATTCACGATAGCACTTTCGACCGGGATTTACGCGCTGTGTAATGTCCAGATCACGATTTGTGTTTCCGTTATGCTTATAAAACCATTCTGCAACAGATTCGATTAGTTAATTTGAGAAAGTAACACGGGAAGTTTACTTGCCCATGCTAGACACAAGGAGAAATAAGTATATTATTGAACGACTCTCGAGAAAAGGATACCGCTCACTTAGCCCAAAGCTCTTCGATAATCTCCTTAGATGTCTTAAATCTTGCTCGATCCGTCTCATGGAGTTGGATCGGGTTTCCCGTTATTTCCATCACGGCCTTAACGAACTGACGTGGAGTGAATATGTCTGAAGCAATACGCAAGTCCTTCCCTGCACACGGTACCAGAATTTATTAGCCATTGAACATATACTTTGGGAAAGCTCGCCTTACCAATCCACTCCTGTGGCTTCTTGAATGCCTCAAGGACGTATGCTCCAGTCTCGGCGACGCTATATCCCGCAATCGGACCGTCGGTCATAACGAAAAGCCAGTCTCCAACAATAACTCCCTTCTCATCCTTCTAAAACGCAACCGCTGGAATTTTGATGTAGTTCTCGTAATAGTAGGAAGTGTAAAGTCTGAAAGCCGGTCAATCATCAGATCGTTAGAACAGGATTCGGTTTGTTGGACAATTCGATTACGTACGAGGTTCTGGGCAAATTCGACTGCTTGAGATAATCGTCAACGTCCGCTTTTGAATTCCAATGAGGCACTTCCGGGTCTGAAGTATGGTCCAGAGTCGACCAAATGAAGTGCTTCACCCCCGCAGACACAGCAGCGTCAACGAGTGTTTTCCCTTGCTGAGTTTCTTTCTCTTGGGACAGGAGTTCCCAAACTACCGAGAAATTAGATGATCCTTCAAATCCATAAAGTCCTTAGCTAAGCAAGTACATACAGTTAGTGACGCCGAACACGCCATAGACACCCTTGAAAGCCTGTTTCAGGCTTTCTGCATCGTTCAGATCAGCCTTTACGACTTCAACGCCAAGCGCTACCAAATCTTGTGAAGAATCAACATGATTTCCCAACCATGAAGGCAACGCCACTTACTCTTTGCTTTCGAAGACTCAAGGTTGCGCGTTAGTGCTCGAACGTGGAAGGCGTGTTCAGGATCATTGACCAGATACTGCACAACACTACTGCCTTGTGCACCAGTCGCTCCAAGTACTGCAATAATTGGCTTGGTACTGCTGGACATGGATAACTTCGCTGGGAGAGATACTCCTGGGTAGGATGTTGGGATGTTGAAAAGGATGGACGACTGTCGAACCTACTTTATGCTAGTTGTACTAGTTCCGGAAGTTGCGGATGATGGTCTGTGATGTGAACGTTTGTGTATCAGCATCGTGATGGCAGTCTAGATTTTCTTCTACATACATTGAGAAAATTGTCTTTTGTCTAGATAGAGCCACGTACGTGCATAGCAAGGAAATGCACGATTCACAGCTACATATAGTTTGGTCAGAGTGAGGTTGAAGGAAAGTCGCTCGTCCCCGTTTACCATGGAAAGCGGGAAGCAACGGGACGGTTAGCATACAACATGTAGTTCGGATCACAGATAAGATTTCCGCTCAGTCAAGAAGAAGAATGATTATACAAGTCGCTGTTGATCCAGCAGGCGACGCTGAATTGGAACTAGTTGATGAACACTGCTCATACGGCCCTAGAACAGTGCATGTGAGCTGCAAGGAAGTTATACATAGCACCATCATGGAGGATATCTCACGTCTTTACTGCGATGTTCTAAGCAATGCAGTAGGAGCTTAACCCTTGGACGAACTATCAGATGTGGATGCTTTAGCTAAATTCCTACGCTACCGTCCTATGAAAAACCGCCCACTGAAAGTCCGTTACATGCCGAAGCGATCATCGCGTGCCTCGTGGCCATAGCCTCAAGCTCATGTGCTTTGTGTCTCACTGAGGGAACATTGTACGATCAAGAGTTGAGGATCATGAGCAATGTACTTGAAGATCGGTCAAACGAGTAACAATTTCTTCGTCATGGGTTAATGCTGATCTTTGCTGACCAAGATGGCTTACGTCAACCAGTCCATGCGAGCGTTTGCACACGCAGTACCATACCAGCCATCATAAATTCGATGAAGACCTTCAAGCGAGAACGACAACGTTATTAAGTATTATTTGTTAATTCTGTTCAATATGGTACAAACATTGGCTAATAAAACACTATACTTATTGTACTTCATGGCTGCCAATAACTCAAGACTTGAACGAGGTAAGGTAAAATTCTTTGTTAGCCTCAATAAATGCACGATGGTCTTTTCGAGACGGATTGATACGCAAGGTCAACTCAGGGTCTCGCTTTGGCATATGCTTGTAGAATAATTCTGTAATTCTGAATTAGCATTGCGGAAGGAACATTAGCGCACAGATGACAGAACAACGTACCCATGCTGTGTTGTAAAGCGGAGATCGTGTACTTAATATTTGGTTAAAGATTCGACTTAAAACACTCACTTGGCCCAAATTTCTTCACCAGTTGCTCTGGTTGAATCGAACCTCGCCCGATCAGTTTCGACAATACTTATCTCACAGCCTGTTATCGAGCTAAGATCCTTGATATACTGCCTTGGGGTGAATATGTCCGAAACGATGCGCATGTCCTTCGCTAAAAATGAAGCCGAAGTCAGCTCTGGAAATCATTCCATTTCGCAAATATATTTACCAATCCATTCTTTTGGCTTCTTGAACGCTTCAAGCGCATACGCTCCTATTTCAGTAACGCTGAATCCGCCTATCGGGCCATCCGTCAGGCATGATGGCCAGTCCGCGACTAGTTTGCCGTTGTCATCTTTCTTAATCGGGAACTTCAGTAGATTCTCAAAGTAAAACGCGGTGTAGAGCCTGGTGAAATTCGGTTGAGAATTGCTATAATTTAAGTATAGACACGTACGATGTCCTTAGAAGATTTGTTTGCTTAATGTAATCGTCTACTGCAGCCTTGGAATTCCAGTGGGGCACTTCTGGGTCCGATGTATGGTCCAGAGTCGACCAGACGAAGTGCTTCACTCCTGCAGATTCAGCCGCGTCGACAAGTGTCTTTCCTTGCTTAATTTCCTTTTCAACAGAAAACAGCTCCCAGACTAAGATGCACATCAAGTTAATATAAATAAATTACTCTGCAGTATAGATACGCACAACTCGTGACTCCGAATACGCCATAGGCCCCTTTGAATGCACTGCGTACGCTGTCCGCGTCGCTGAGATCAGCCTTGACAACTTCGACACCGCGTTTCGCCAATTCTAATAGTAATAAAAGAATGTGTACGGAACATACGAATGGGTTCCGCAATGACTCTCACCTTTGGCCTTTGGAGAATCCACGTTACGCGTCAATCCACGAACGCGGAAAGTATGATCCGGGTCATTAAGCAAATATTGCACAACGCTGCCACCCTGAGCCCCAGTAGCCCCGACAACAGCGATCAAATGCTTATCGGAACTTGTCATTTGTTAAACTTGGTCCAAGTGAGTGAAGAAGGTGGAGAAAGCGAAGGAGAAAACAGTACGAGGACATGTCTTATATCCAATGACGATAGTGAAAGTAGATCAGGAGCCCTACTGAGACTTCCGAATCGGACATGCAAATGGCTTATGAGGCACACACTGACATGTGAGCTTGTCAGAGACAATGAGTTTATCTGTAAGACAAGCTATACATGCGCGTCGAGGAGAATATTAATGCTTGTGGCAAGAGACAGGTAAGTAATTACAACAGAAGAAATAGCAACCAATAACAAATTTCTTATCACTTACAAAGCGACTACGGCACTAATCGATGTGCAGGGTGGAATGCAGATGACGTCATATCTAACCCAGCAGCTATCATTAATAAGAGCAACTTTCCATAGCATATAGGCATCAATTTATTCTGTTCACTTCTCTCAGGCAGACAATATTTTCACACGAACTCATACAGTATCCAACCAGCTCAGGAGCTAAACGACGCAAGAAACGCTTCCTTGTTGGCCTGAATGAATGTACCATAATCCTTGCGTGATGGATTAATGCGCAAAGTCAGCTCTGGGTCGCGGTTCGGATTTCCATTGTATTTGTAAAAGTTTTCTACGAAAAAGAGAATCAATACCGCGCAGAAATATCATTGAATCTCACCTACCCATGCTGTGAAGCGATACGGAAGACGTTTAATAAAACGAATTACAGTAACGAAATGTGTCTTGCACTCACTTAGCCCAAAGTTCTTCACCAGACGCTCGAGATTCATTAAACTTCTCCCGGTTGTATTCACGTATCACAATCTCTTTTCCAGTTATATCGCTAAGAGCCTTGACAAACTGACGCGGTGTGAACACATCCGAAAGGACACGCAAGTCCTTCCCTAGCATTGAGCAATGCAACACAACGTTGGATATTAAATCGCTTCATGAAGAGCCTTTACTTACCGATCCACTCTTTCGGCTTTTTAAATGCCTCAAGCACATACGCTCCTGTTTCAGCGACACTGTATCCACCAATAGGACCATCTGTCCAGAACACGGGCCAGTCTGCTACTAGTTTACCTGCATCGTCCTTCTTTATTATTAGATTCGGGAACGCAAGGAAGTTCTCGTAGTACGCTGAGGTGTAAAGACTGAAATCGACAAATCATTAATCTGCAGTGGAGCAAGAGGTATATAATTTGCGCTTACGAAGTGCGTGGAAGTTTAGTCTTCTTGAGATAATCATCAACTTCAGCTTTGGAATCCCAATGCGGCACCGTTGGATCAGACGTATGATCCATTGCCGACCAGACGAAATGCTTCACTCCTACAGCTACTGCGGCATTGACTAATGCCTTTCCATGCTGAGTTTCTTTTTCTCCAGAGAACACCTCCCAGACTAAAATAGCAGAAGGTTCAGGACGGTTACAGATTGCTTTCCAAGGCATATACGCACAATTCGTAACTCCGAACACACCAAAGGCACCCTCGAATGCCTTTTTCAAACTATTGACATCGTCCATGTTGGCCTTAACCACTTCAACTCCACGCTCTGTCAAAGCTAATGGAGCGTGTGATCATTAATCATATACATTAAGGACAACGATGGTAGTAATAACAATCATAACGCTTACCCTTTGCTTTCGGAGAATCAACATTGCGTGTTAGACCACGAACACGAAAGGAGTGGTCCGGGTCATTCAGTAAATATTGTACAACACTTCCGCCTTGAGCACCTGTCGCTCCGACAACTGCAATCAATGGTTTATTGGCGCTCGCCATGAATGTACTCGTAAGGTGAAGAAGATGAAGAAATTAGAGAAAACAATTTGTACACATCTTATTTATACTTGTTAATTGCAATGGTCTGGGTCGGAAGCTTTAATACTACTATAACAAGACTCCGAGTCGGACATTAGAACACTAATGGCGTGTGTGTTCTGTGTGTGATTGTGTATATTTTTAGAACGAGGAAGGCACGGTACAATAGAATACATTTAAGATAAACTGAATAGGGAATAGTATTTTGACATGTAGCATGACCTTAGTGATCATCCCACACCTTTTAGAAGAAAGAAGACGAGTGGTCCTGATATGCAGAGAATATCATGGCCGTATGTGGTCAAGATTACTATCGGATTTACCTGTTCATGTAATACCACGAGGAGATTCTTCAAGTTCCATTTCTTTGCCTAAAGTAGGATTCGTCTGGATCAAAATGCATATCGTAATTGATTTATTTTCCTAGAGAGAAACGGAAGCTAAACGAGTACGACTCTGTTGATAACAACGACTTAATCACCTCTCATTTTCTCGTAATTAAATAACTTTGTACTGTTAAGTGATAGAACTTCCAGACCCATTCTGTAATCTTTGCACCTGTGACTATACACTACTACCGTAGGCCGTGGGCGTGGACGAACTTTTCGATAGAAGCTATACGAGTGAAACCGTGTTACGTCGTTGCATATGGATCTGAACCGGGTTTTGCTCACTAATGTCCTGGTCGAGAGTCCTGAGAGCCAGAACAATGAACAAAGAACTATACATTCATGTTATGGCCGGCCCACCAGGATCCCATAATATTCGCCGTTTTTATATGCTCTTCTCAGACAACGTTGATGTGCACACCTCAAAGTAACAATACATATATTTCTTATCTAAACAACTAGATCAGAAGCGTATTGCACAGTAAGAATAACGTCAATCGCAAGAAGACACAGCAATTTGGTATCTCGCTGATATAGTGTATTTATTAGCATAAGATTTTCATTATGTACAACATGTAAGAACGAAAGAAATGTTACATGACTATTTGAACATCATGTTCAATGTTTCTTGGGAAAATTGGCCAATTAAATACTGCTCTTCATGCAATTCCGAATTCCGACTCTACAAGTTGAACGAAGCAATAAATGCTTCCTTGTTAGCTTGAACAAATGCGCGATGATCTTTGCGAGATGGGTTGATGCGCAAGGTCAAATCGGCATCGCGGTTCGGATTTCCATTGTGTTTATAGAAGTATTCTACGAAAAGGGACCATCAATTTCATGCTAAAGTATGAAGTAGACGCTCTTACCCATACTGTGATGAGAAATGGAGATATGAGTGAAATATAATGGCATAACGAAGTATGCTGTGGACTTACTTGGCCCAAAGTTCTTCACTATACGCTCGGGATTCATTAAACTTCTCCCGATCGTATTCACGGATCGCGATCTCTTGTCCTGTTACCTCGCTAACAGCGGTGATGAATTGACGCGGGGTGAATACATCCGAGACGACACGTAGGTCTTTCCCTATAAGTAATGGAACAATGAAAATGAATCTCACATAGTTTCCTTCAAATTTCCTACTCACCGATCCATTCCTTCGGCTTTTTCAATGCCTCGAGTACATATGCTCCTGTCTCAGCGGCACTGTATCCACCAATAGGGCCATCCGTCCAGAATACAGGCCAGTCTGCTACTAATTTACCTGCATCGTCCTTCTCAATGTTTAGATTCGGGAACGTAAGAAGGTTCTCATAATAGAACGCTGTATAAAGGCTAAATTAATCGGCCGTCAAATTTCAAAAAAGAACCGTATGAGATGAAAAATTCATGTACGTACGAAGTACGCGGAAGATTGGTCTGCTTGAGATAATCATCGACGGCAGCTTTGGAGTCCCAATGAGGCACCGACGGGTCGGATGTATGATCCAACGTCGACCAGACAAAATGTTTCACTCCCGCCGCTACTGCGGCATCGACCAACGCCTTTCCGTGCTGAGTTTCCTTTTCGCCCGAGAACACTTCCCAGACTGTAGATACAGACAGTTAAAACTCTTTATGGGACTTTTTCAAGCTGGAAACGTACAATTCGTGACACCGAACACGCCGTAGACACCTTCAAATGCCTTCTTCAGGCTATTCACGTCGTTCAGATCGGCCTTTACAACCTCAACAGCGCTTTCCGCCAAAGCTAACGGGATGTATGCGCATAAATTAGGGATGATAGCGAAACGACGAAGATAACGAAGCAATGGTAAAAACAAGAGCAATATTAATGCTTACCCTTCGCCTTCGGAGAGTCGACATTACGCGTTAACGCACGAACGCGGAAAGTATGGTCGGGGTCATTCAATAGGTATTGGACGACGCTACCACCCTGAGCTCCTGTTGCTCCAACAACAGCAATCAAAGGCTTATCTGTGCTCGACATGACGATATTTGCAATCGTTTGGAGAAGATAGATAAAGTGAAGGAAAGAAAGTTGTGCAAGTCCAAGCCTTACTTATAATCGATAATGGGAGGACTGGTTGAGATAGGCTTACTGTGAGTCCGAATCGGATTTGTCACCTGAGCACGTCACTGACATGTCGAGCTTGCCCCGGATAGCAAAGGGCGCTAGTCAGACAATTACTTCAAGTCAAGGAGAGGGGTATCTCTGGTTGGATTGTGCAATGCAATAAAAGGAGTCCGTGAATCTTCTTGGCTTAAATATAAATAACAGAGCCAGAGCACGACTCTGCATGAGAGATGGCTCAGTGACAGTCCGACTGACGAGGAATCTGTAACAAGGAAGGAATATGGAATAAAAATTCGATTTGCAGGACTCTCAACTCGTTAGTGCTCTCCTGACACGTAGATCACCAAATTGATAAAGGCAGTGAAGATAGTTGCTTGATTTGCACCATCAAGATGGCGCGTTCACACGTGAGGCTGGGCGTCCATCGCTATCGGGCTGGCTAAGCCGATACCTTCGTTCCTAGGTACTGCTCACTAATCCATTTATTGGAATTCCTAGCTAGCATAGCAAGGGCATGCTCAAGCAAGTAGTCATACCATTCACAGTACTGTGCATTAGCATTCACAATCAGCAAGTCCGACAAGAGTAGATGCTGGTGATGGCAAGGTGATATAGGTTGGACGATGCACATATATCTTGTAAGTCCGTTAGGATTCCTGTAAGAAGATAACACGATGCAACCAGCCGTTAAAGTGAGGATTTGAGAATTCCTTATCTGCCTCGATGACAGTGCACAATCCATTGAGTCGTGGCATGAGCCGGGCGACGGCTTGCAATTCCATTAATCGGGAAGAAACATCACTAAATTTAGTATCAATTAATTTAGTCCGACAATATCCTGATTGATGTGCTCATGCAGCAAGGTAGTGGGTTCGAAAGGGCACGAGTCATCATATTCACATATCGTGGTGAGAGGAAGGCATTTACTTACTCCAAAGTTTGCGATTACTGACATTCGTGTATTTAAAGTTCGGGCGCCTAACTCAAATTTAGAATGTTTCTGTGCTTTCCAATTGTGTCAGTCACCCTGAGTGGAATATCGAGGGGTAAATACGTGTTGTATGCCACAAATATCCTTGCCTAAGTTAGATAGTGTGTAATCAGCAACCAACAACGATTTCGAACGGACTTTACTCACCAATCCATTCGCTTGGACTCCTGGAAGTCGTAAGGACATAAACTCATATTCCGTATTTTGCCAGTGTTATATTCACCCGGTGATCCAGCAGTCGACATCAGCACACGGACTTTAACAAACGACAGTGACAATTGTCTTCAGGAGGAAAAGGCATAAGCAGCTTCTGAAGTAGAATGTCATGTGTTCTCCAACAAGCGTAAGCGGTAGAACTTCATATTGTAACAAGCTACAGTTGTCAAATCTTCTTCTCTTTAAGGTAGTCGCAAAGTCCTGTGCGTTTCAAGAGAACTGCTTGATCAACTGTTTAAAGCCGCACAAATTGCTTCACTTCAGTGAATAAAGTACCATCGGCGAGACTCCTTCCTGTGGCGTTCACATTTCCCCTGGAAGCAATTCCAAAACTGAAAACTGTGAGGCATGAGTATGTGGTTTTAATATATCAGGAAGAACGTACTGTTTGTAACTCCGAATACACCATAAGCGCCTGCAGATGCCTTGCACAAGTCACCTACGTCAATTATTACGTACCTCACTAATCTCACAGGCGGAGCTCCTAATGGAAAGTTGGTACGATAGAAACAAGTAAGGTTGAAACTTATATTCTGCTTTTGGAGAGGTAACAGTCCAATAAGCTCTTGGATACGAAGGGTGTGATCCGGGTCATTTGGCAGGTATTGGTGAGAATAACCACTAATATAAGTCCTTGTGAGATACGAGAGAGACTATAATGTTTTAGTCAGATAGTGGCATTAATGTTTGCAGAGGCTGCCTTGATATTCCAGGATACAGATGATGAAATCAAATTTGAGTTCTCGATGCTTGTTGGTTGTGAACTCATTGCAGTACGTGAATGTTACACTTTATGTCATGTGATAGCCTGCAAATTTACTCATCACGGAGAATAAACTTCTATCTGTGCAGGCCTTGTTGGCAGTTGCTGTTCTCTGATTGCTGACGACAAAAGATGGCCTTCACCTTAAATTTTGCTTCCTACTTCAGTCAACAGGACAAGTTAGAGAGGCGTGATACCTTGGATAAACGGAATTAAATGCTCAACACGTGTCCTTAAAGTTAACGTGGTCCTCCTGTCACCTGTGCCATACCCGTCCGTTGTGTCAGGTAATGTGCTGTTCTACTTGAAACTACACTAGAAGTACGTATACTTCTGTCCTCATGGCGTGCACCTCATGCTGTTATGTGCGCTTAGACTCCTTCGAGCGTGGGGATGATTTCTAATTTGGCGTATGTGAAGGTTTACGCATGTAATAACAGCGGTGTTCTCCAATGATTCTGGTCTATTCTTTGTCTATCCCATGACCCCTGAACTCTAAACGGGCGCTTAGCTGTATTAGCTTTCGAAGTCATGGTTCATGGAAGGGAATATGGAGGAGCCGTCTGACTGGCATCTATCTTCAGGTATGTGCCTCTTCAGCCTATAAGTACCCACTACAATGTTCATATTATATTCATTGTCTGCTCTCAGACTACTACGCTACCCCACCGTCAGATACCTTCGCGTTTTTACCATGGATAATCCTCGTGGAAGAGGTAGGGGCCGAGGTGGACCTCGAGGCGGTGGCGGCCAACGTGGAGGTCCAGGACCCCGTGGTGCACCACCATCTGCACCTGGCCGTGGCTTTGGGCGCGGCAGAGGGGGTCCCGCCCCAGTGCAGGTGTTCGCACTGGGCGGAACTGCACAGTTGGACGCTCGGCTCAGTGATCGTGAGCTGACTGCGCTTGTCTCGAAATTCAGCAATCTATCGACATCGGTGCCTGATCGCGTCGTACGTCCCGGATTCGGGAAACGCGGGACAGCAATCACGCTCCGCGCGAATTTCTTTGCGTTGAAGTATCCGAAGAACTGCGTTCTGTACGATTACCCGATTGAAATCACACCTAGTGTGAAGAAAGAGGAGAAGCGTTTGCGAAAGCGCCTTTTCGACTTGTTTGAATCGTCGCAGGACGTCGCACCATATCTTGGAGGCATTGCCCATGACAGGATGCAACGCCTCATTGCAAGGGCACTGTTACCAGAGGACTTCACCGTAACGATTGCCTTTTATGAGGAAGGCCAAGCCGGACCTCGTCCCGGTGCAAAAGAGTACGTCATAAGCCTGTTAGAGCCGAGGGAACTTCGGTCAGCAGACCTTGACCGGTAATTATTTTATTGTCGAAACAACATCTCTACTTTCGTTAACACTCGTTCCAATCAAGGTACCTTCAAGGAGATGATGCACAATACAACCCATTGGATATCATTTCAGCTTTCAACCTAATCACTTCCTCCCATGCGACGCATACTGGAGTCTCAGTAGGAAAGAACCGCTATTTCTTTCCACCCAACTCACTGAATGAGTCGCCCTTCCAACTCGGAAGCGGTTTGGAAGCTTGGAAAGGCTTCTTCTCGAGCGTCCGTCCGGTCTACAAGAGCCTCATGGTTAATGTCAACGTTTGCATGAGCGCTTTTTACGTTCCGCATTCACGGCTAAGCGATGCAATACTCGAATTTGCGAGGCAGTCGAGAGGTGCATCGCCTCAAGAGCTATATGGTCGTGTACGCGTCACGACTACACATTTAGGATATCGGAGGAGATATAGTATAAAGGCGTTTGGACCGCAAACTGCAAGGAAGACCGTGTTCCAATGTGAGGAATACGGTGGCCAAATCAGTGTCGAACAGTACTTTCAACGCAGTAAGTGTACGTTCGTTTTGATCAGGAAGATCGTCTTCAATAACTATTTTGCAAGAATACAAAGTAAAGCTGAGCCACGCCGACGACATGCCAGTCATCAACATCGGCAACAAGACGAAAGACGTTTATGTCCCCGCCGAGGTCTGTGAAATCGAACCAGGACAATCCTACAACGGCACACTCTCAGACAGGCAGACGGCAGAAATGATAAAGGCTGCTTGCAACTCGCCTCCCGTCAACGCACAGGCAATTTCTAACCAGGGTCTTAATGTTCTTGGTTTGCGGCAACGCGCAACACCTATGACCGGCTTCGGTGTTGAAATATCTACTGAGTTTACCGTCGTCCCTGCTCGGGTCCTTACCCCACCGAGGGTCATGTATCAGTCGGGCCAGCCGAGCGTTGCGAATGGCTCGTGGAACATTCTCGGTGTGCGATTCTCGAGACCGGCGCAACTCACTCGCATCGCAATACTTGTATTGAACGACGGCGGTCGTGAAGACTTCCAGAGCAATTCCGATCCCGATTTACGTAACGTTGTCACCGGTTTCCTCGCTAAATGTCGCAATAGTGGTATGCAAGTTGACAGTGCTCTTCCTCCGTTGCTTTTCCTTCGACTCCCGAGACTAAACTTTCAGCGGGATCGCTTCCGTACCGAAGCAATTGCACAAATCGAGAGCTCCATCAAGTCCCTTCCCAGTAAACCAAACATGATTCTTGTATTCATGACAGGCAAGGATCCTGATATCTACCCCGGACTGAAGAAACTATGCGACATGAAACTCGGCATTCCAACACTATGCATGATCATGTCGAAAGTACGTAAGGAGCGCGGCCAAGACCAGTACTTCTCCAACATTGCACTCAAAGTGAATGCAAAACTCGGCGGCATCAACCATCAGATCCACCCAGATTCTCTCAAGTGGTTGAAGAACACAATGCTCGTCGGAATGGACGTGACACATCCTGGGATCGGTTGTGTAAAAGGAACACCCTCGATTGCTGCAGTCGTCGCATCGTGCGACACTAATTTCATGCATTATCCAGTCAGCTTGCGTCTGCAGGAACACCGGAAAGAGGTACGCCTTATCGTTTAATCTGCCTTGAATTTCCTCATAGCTCACCAATTGAAATTGCAGATGATTACCGATGTTAAGGATATGATGATCGAACGATTAGCGGAATACAACAAACGTATGAAGGCTTACCCGGAGCGCGTCATCGTTTTCCGTGACGGTGTCTCCGAAGGCCAGTTTGACCAAGTGCTCCTCAAAGAACTACCCGAGATAAAGAAGGCCTTCAAGTCCTTCAAGAACTATAATCCGAAGCTAACTATCTCAATTTGCGGAAAACGTCATCATACTCGCTTCTATCCAACTAAGCCAGAGGACGCCGATAGGACGTCAAACACCAAAGCCGGGACAGTCGTTGACAAAGGCGTTACAGCGGTATACGATTTTGATTTCTATTTGCAGGCACACGCTGGACTCCAGGGCACGGTTCGTGCAACGCATTACACAGTCGTCTACGACGAGAACAAGTTCCCAGCAGACGATCTCCAGCAAGGTGCAAACGATGTCAGTTACTTGTGGGCTAGAGCGACGAAGAGCGTGAGTTTGATTCCACCAGCGTACTGGGCGGATCGCGCTTGCGAGCGCGGAAAACACTACTTGCACGGTATTCTTCCTCCGCCGAAAAATAGTCCGGAGAGCAGGATGGATGAGCAGCAGATATCTAGGAAGGCGCAGGAAATGTGGGGGAACGGTATCCACGAGAATCTGAAAGGCACAATGTTCTACCTATAACTGACATGATTTGTACCAATATGTTTGGAGGGATCTGTATTCTTACACGCATTTGTTCTTCCTGTCTTGATGTTGTGCGTGTCATGATTAGAATTTAGCCATATCAGCATTGACTTCACTTCATTTACAATTGCAAGCAACTGAAAATAACATCTTTGGGCACTGGGAAAACCATCCAGACTCACGTACTCTGTTCAGCCCGCAAGCCGGTGTGCCTAGCGTGCATGTCATACTTACCATCAACCACTTGGAACTGTCTTCTCTATTTATCCCTTCGTTGTTCAATGCGTCGTACCAAGAAAAACGTCGAAGCAAGCATATTCTTTTTAATTGTAAATTGCCCAATTGCACTTTTAGCATAAACAAGTTTAAATTACTCAAAGCTGCAAAAGCCATATTTCATCCAAGGTTCTCTCATATTTCAAACCAGACAAGAAGTGAGCGGCTATCCATAAAATTGGAAAATATCAGGTCCAGTTTTTTGACAGGTGCTTTGAAATGTATGCAACAACAAACAGTGTGATGTGAAGCAACTGGTATTAACATGACAGGACCGGCTCTAGCAAGTCTCACTGGCTGTGAACCCTGAACTATCTGGCTCATTCCATGAAGAACGCAACCAAGAGTTGACTTAAACTTGTTTGACAGCCTTGATACGCAGCCAGGACCCAATTTGTACCGGATGCTGTCTAACCTCTTCTGATCGACGTCGACTCGATGTTTCCACTTCAGCATCAAATCTCGATCCACTCGGATCCGAATGATTCCGAACTCACAAAGGGAATATGTCAAACTGAGTTCCCATCTTCATTTAGGCCCCATTATCATACGTTATAAACACTCCCCAATCCATCTTGCAGGAGGGGAATGCACATATTTACGACACCGACCCGACTTTCAAGAACGCATCACTCGTCCATACCTCCCTAGAAATCTGTTTGAAGCCTTAACATGAGCAATACTGCTGTTTCTGACGTCGACCCCGTCGTAGCCAAATTTCTGATCGAGAGCAGGATTTACTTCACGTACTTCCAAATTGCAACTGTGGCACTTTTGTGCTATGATGTCGGTGAGTTGAGCTGATTCATTTCCCTTCCGTCGAGGGCTTATGCTGACTTCGGAACAGCTACTACGTTGGACAGGGAGGTCCGTAATACAATTTTCTGAATGAGGTATCTTATTGACTGTTGCCTGTGCATCTCGACATCTCTAGATCAAATACTTTTGGGTAAGTCTAAATTTCTCCTATGTCTTCTTCCTTGCTTGACTCAAGATAAACATACGGGTCGTAGTCCAGGCCACGAAGGCATATAACTTGGGTTTACTTAGCCGTACGCATCTCAGCAATCCAATGGAATGCAATCCGTTAACTAAAGACGATTTAGAATCGATATATTGGGCTCCTAGGAGGCATATCATTATTATATTGTGCGTCTTTGAAGTCCAATCAAGCAACGTTTATCTTACGTCGATGTGCAAAAAATATCAGGGACTTCATTCAAGGCAAATAACAAGTCGTGCGTTATATTCCTTACTAGCGTGTGTCAAAGGTTGATTGTAATTATATTGGTTTAGATGTAAGAACTGGTCCTCAAAGCCTTACTTTCTTTGCCTAAATTTGGGGTAATTATCTAGGTGAAGCTACTGGTTGGATTTTGGTCGCACAGGGTACATATAATACTGTTCTTCTTTCGCTCACTTTCATGTAGATTCTCGATTTACTGTCACCTTCCTAGGCTTGGTAACGAGGATCGCGATTGACTGTGAGTTGTTAATCTTGCTTCGGAAAGAATGTTGAGCTGACCAAGTTGCCGGTAGACATTTTGTTATCAAGAGTCCTTGCTTTTCTTCCTTCACGTGCGTATGCACCTATTACATAGTGTCAAAAGCAAGTTTCCCAAGCGTATAAATAATTTACAGGAAGCTTGCTACATACTGTCCTCAAAGTCTCATTCGTGGCGGAAGAAGTCTTTCGGATAGGAGCGACCCTGTACTATGGATACGCCCAAGGCAGTAGCCCATCTCAATTCTCTTGCGAGTTGTGAGTTGTGCACGGCATGTAAGAAATATGCCAAAAATGCCGAAGTGCCGAGATGAAAATCGGGTGGTTAAGATGGGGATCGGGTTGCGTGCTTGCCTAAAGTAGTAGTCAAACGCGCAACAACTCGCAAGCACTCTGGAGTGCTTGTGAGTTGTCGGACTTTGAAATTAAATGATGTTTCTTGTATCCCTTACTTGTTTGTCCACTCAAATCACAAGAAATCTGATCGACACAAAATTCACAACTCAATCATCTCAATTCTTCCTAGTTGTGAGGAAACTCGGCATCAACCTTACCAGGGTCCTCTACAAAGCCGAGCTTCCTTGCAACTTGCAACTCGCAACAGAATTGAGATGGGCTAGTGCGTTGCTCATCTATTTCTCCTTGCCTTGGCACCAATTTCACTCACTCAATCATTAATAAGTGATGTCAATAAAAGTAACACACGAAATTGAGATTTGTACAGTCAAGAGGTTGTTACCGTTGGAAATTTTCATCTTGGCCTGGTTAGTACTGGCAGCCATCTGTTACACGTTTTCAATATAACCTGCCTGTTCGACCATTGTATGAATGAATGTCACAAAATTTGATGCATGTCCCCATTCTTTGATGCAGGGTCCTTCCCATGGTATACGAACTTGTCATCATGGGCATCACTCTGCGTCGAGCGATTTCGTTCTGGAGACTATCGGCAGGCTTCCGCGGGTTCCCACTCATGCGAGTTATCATTACCGACCAAGTATTCTATTTCGCATTGTAAGTACCTCATCACCGCAACAGTCTTCCGTCTCACCTTAGCTTTCCTTATCCCGCTTGAACTTGTGTGAATATTAACGCAAAACCAATCACCCACAGAATCGTCGCATATTGTGTATTAAACATGCTCGAAGGCACACTTACCACCTTCAACTCAGTCGCACAAGCCTTCGTAGCATTTGGTGGAAGCGAATCATTTCTATGCATTCTCGGGAGCCACATGTTGTTTAATATGAAAGATGCTGCGCGACATGGGGACTATGATGCATCAACGGGTGGAATTGTAACGCGCACAGTGTCGAATGTGCAGTTTGAGATGAAGACATATTCAAGTAGCATGAATCCGAGTCGTTATACCGAAACGAACTGTGGATCACAGAATACACATGTAGGCTTAGAAGTTAGCACAAGATGAATGTCCTTGATGTCTTTCGTTCAAGATTACGAATTCCGCTCGGTCCTTTCCTCTTAGAAATACGCCTCTACCCTGTTATATTCATTCTCGTTCTTTGCTTTCATTTTGTTTTCAGCCTGCTTTCAGCTCGGATCGCGAGAGTATCTACCGTGATCCACGTGATTTTGTTCAGATCCCGAGATCATTGTGCCTGTCGCATATTGCTCCAATGCCATCGCCTATTTGACACTTTCTTCTCTGAATATCTTCGCTTTGGAAATTTAGTGATGCCAAGAGAAACGTTGAAGCGAGCAACGCTGAGTCAAGCGTGCTCAGCTCATTCGTACGACGTAAAGTTTAAACCATGAAACCAGGACATCTTGCTGGATTCAGTTCTCATGGATTATTTAGAGCCGTAGGCTCCGTATTTTTTCCCGGGTCTCACTCTCATATTTCTGACTGAATCAGGACGTCTGGTCCTATTCTCGAGAAGGTGCTCGAAATCATTGCATTTGGTAATTCAGATACTGCATACTCAAAAAGGAAAGTGAGTTATTCCCACGGGACCAACCCTAGCAAGTCTCGTGGTCTACGAATCCCTGAGCTATCCGTGCCTTTCATACGAATCCTATCTAAAAAAAGTCCTTGAGTCCACTCGTTTCTCTGTTTTGATAAGCATAATATGCAGCTAGGGCCAAACTTGTCCAGGATGCTATTTAGCTTCTTCTGATCGACGTCGACATCTATCTCCCACTCGGATCCCGTTCATCAGATCTGTGCAACTTTAGAGGATAGCGAATCGGTCTTCCATCAATATTTAAACTATCACCATATGTTCAAAGGTTCCCCAATCCATGGCGAGGCGGGCTCTACAGGAATTGACAACCATCTACTCGACCTTTGAGAACGCGCCATCCATCCCTACCTACGCAGGATTCTACTCGGCACGAAATGAGCAATCTCACCGTTGCTGACATCGACCCTGTCGTAGCCAGATTTCTCCTCGAGGATGGTATTTACTTTATGTACTTCCAAGCTGCAACTGTAACACTGTTGTGTTACGATATCAGTAAGTAGAGCTGGTTTGCCCTCACTCCCTTCGCTTATTCACACTGACTGCGGAATAGTCACCACTTTGGACAGAGAGGTCAGTGAACTGATTATTTCTTTGGGACGTATCTGTTGACTGTCACTTGTGCTTATCCACGTCTTTAGGTCAAGTACTTTTGGGTGTGCTCGCTTTTTACACTCGCGCATTTTTTCTCGATTAATTTGAACGAAATGTTTGTATTGTAGTCCACACCGCGGAGCCATGTAACTTGGGTTTATTTTGCGGTATGCATCTTATCAACTGAATATCTTCCATTAACTGAATATCCTCTAGAATCGATATATTGGAGTCATGGGAGGCACATCGCTACTATATTGTGCGTCGCCCGAGACGAGCAACCAGTTTTTATTATTAACCCATCGATGTTTAAAAATACCAGGGTGCATATTTCAAGCGCGTAACTACTCGTGCGTCGTGTTCTCTGTCATAAGCGTTTGCCATAAGTTGATCGGTTGCTATTGTTATTGTATTTGACTAGATGTAAGCATCAAACTTCAGAGTTTGGCGTTCTTTTCTTAAATTCGGAGTCCTTTTCAGGCATTGTAACTGGATGGCTCTTGGTCGCACAAGGTACGTATTATAATGTTCATCGTGCTCACTCGCTCCGCGAAAATTTCTTATTTATGTCCTCTTAGGCTTGGTTACGAGGATCGCGATTGATTGTAAGTCGCTAGCTTTGCTTCGGAAAGGAACATTGGACTGACCATCGTTTTGGTAGATATCTTGTTGTTAAGACTCCTCGCCCTCCTCCCTTCGCGTGCGTACATATCTATCGCACATGGCGCAAATGCAGATCTCATTAGCACAAATTGCTTACAGGAACCAGGTTACATGATATCCTCAAAATCTCGTTCGTAGCGGAAGAACTCTTTCGGATAGCAGCGACCGTGTACTATGGGCACGCCCAAGGCAGTACGTGTTGTTGTTACTCTATTCTACTTCACACGATTCTCACCCAATCGTACATAAGTGATGTCGATAAAAGTAACAAACAGCGCCGAAATGTGTATAGTCGATAGATTGCTGCCGTTGGAGATATTTATCTTGGCCTGGTCAGTATGAGTAACCACATGTTTCGCGTCTTCACTATCTCTTCTCTCCCCGATCCTTTTATGAATTAATAACGTGAAACATAACTTACGTCCCTATTTCTTAATTGCAGGATCCTTCCATTGGTATACGAGCTCATCATCATGGGCCTCACTCTCCACAGAGCCATCTCATTCTGGAGATTGTCTGCAGGTTTCCGTGGCTTCCCACTCATCCGAGTCGTCATCATCGACCAAGTATTCTATTTCACATTGTAAGTCTCACATCATCACATCTCCGTTCCAATTCCTTTTCCTCCTTCTATACCGTAAGGATCTCACGCGAATGTTGCTTAATCTCCGTGCAGAATCATTGCATACTGCGTATTCAACATGCTCGAAGGCACGCTTACCACGTTCAACGCCGTCATACAAGCCTTTGTCGCTTTCGGCGGAAGCGAATCCTTCCTATGCATTCTGGGTAGTCACATGTTATTCAACATGAAAGACGCTGTTCGACATGGGGATAATGCATATGATACATCAACAGTTGGTGGTGGAGGTGTAACCCGCACGTTCTCGAACGTGCACTTTGAGATGAAGAGCTATCCGCGCAGTACGAATCGTTATGGTTCTGATGGAACGAACTACGGATATGGATCGAAGGATGCTCATGCATTACGAGAGCGATATCCCTGATTTTTTTCCACTCAAACTTATAGGTTCTGCTTGTTTTTTTTATGGACCTAACTTGTTTATTATTTTATCATTCTCATTTCTGTCCAACTTTCATTTTTTTTTTACAGCCTCACTTCACCTTTGGTATATCTGTGATTATGATTGTATATTGTACAAGTAGAGTATGTTATTTGTTGCGAAAAGTACAGAGCTCGTGAAGTCAGAAAAAAAAAATTATACATCGCGATCGAATTTGCAAGAAGGTATACAAAGTGCCAGCGTACAAAACGTCCAATCAGAAAACGGTGTCGCAGTGGGGAGCAAGTAACAGTTGTAGCTTCGCGTTAATAAATTCCGCCTCCATATCTTCCGTAACCTCCTCCATAGCCGTCAGATCCACCACCCAAAGCATCCATCGCATACCCCTCTGCCTCACGCGCTAATCGATGTCTCCTCCTTCCATGCCTCCCGTACCGCCTTCCATATCCACCATACCCATCTCCGTACCCACCACCACCTCCATATCCGCCTCCGGCTCCGTATCCATCACCAAGCCCTCCACGTCCGTACTCAATATCATAATCATCATACGCTCTTCCGGGCCGATACCCATCTTCGTATCGAACTCCCTTGAGTGCAGCGCGTTCTGCACGCTCAGCTGCCCGTTCTGCGCGGTGTCGCTCGTGACGCATTATAGACGTTTCTCCTGGTTCTCCCGGTCCGTATCCCATACCAGCGCTAGATGCGTATCCTCCTGCCGAGAGTGGTCGTTGAATCCCTGCTCCTGCTCCTCCACCTGCACCAAGAAGCCCGTCTGCACCTCCATACATTCCAGCACCGCCAAGTCCCGTATTTGCCATGCCGCCTGTATATCCTCCAGCAGCAAGTCCAGGATTCGCCATGCCGCCTCCATATCCTCCGGCAGCGAGTCCAGAATTCGCCATACCGCCTGCATATCCTCCGGCAGCAAGTCCAGAATTAGCCATGCCTGCACCACTGTACATGCCTGCACCACCGAGTCCAGTATTACCCATGCCTGCGCCGCCGAGTCCAGAATTTGCCATACCAGCGTAACCTCCTGCAGGGCCAAGTCCAGAATTTGGCATGCCAGAGTATCCTCCAGCCCCATAGCCTAGTCCTCCAGGCGCAGCACCAACAGAGAGTGAGCGTCGTCGAACTAGTGGAGGTGCAGGACTGGCCATTCCAGAACCAGCTACACCTCCACCGAATCCCATCCCTCCGGCTCCCGAACCTAATGCCCCACCGGCAAGTCCACTTCCTGAAAGAGCTGGACTGATTGCACCCATTCCGCCGGCACCCATTCCCCCGGCACCCATTCCCATTCCGGTACCAACGTTCCCATATGCACCTCCGCTGCTCATAAGTATACTGTTCCCTTGATCAAAGATCCGAGCTGCGGCGAGTGCTGCAGTTTCAACAGCTGCAAGTCTTCCGGTATTATCTCCGACGCGTTGCGTATATTGCCACAATCTCGTAGCTAATTACGATATCAATCAACCTTGTACGCACGCAAGAACAATAGTAGTGAAGCCGAAGAAGAAAGAAGACGAACCTTCACCAATAGCAAGTCCGACGAGCGCTTCTCGCTGTCTCATTGCGTCACCGCTAAGGGGCTGCGCGAGTACCCCATAATTATACCTCCAATTACGCCATACTTCATACGCAGCGGCTGCACCGATCTCCATAGGTGCCATAGTCAGAATATCACCCTTTAAAAAATCATCATCAGTTGGAATTATTTTTCGAAAATAAATAAGAAAATAAATAAACGACGCACAAGTCCTCCATAAGCTCTGCGATGCATAAGCTTCGCTTCAACAAGTGAAGGAGCCGCATTCGCGAGTCCAGAAGTACCCAGACCTTGTAACCTATTTTGAGCGTAATCATAAAGTCCAGTATCATAGCCTCCTCCAGCCATAGCACGGTAGTAATCGGGACCTCCCCAGGACGGTTGTGGCTGGAAAGCAGGTGCTGGAGGAGCCATGCTCTGCCATTGACTGGAAGCCCAGTTGGGATTTGCACGATAGTAGTCGAAGTATGCCATGGTACGAGCAAGAGAGTAAGCGGAAGTTACTATCTCTGGAGCGAGCGAGCTTTGAACATTGGTCAGATCAGGTACAAGTGGAGAGTATGACGTCGATCCTGTGCTCAAGCAACTTTGATGAAGATGCGCACGTGATATGCACTTTTTCATCCATCTTTCAGTTGACTGAACAATGTAACTACGGGTGCAACAGAAGTACAACTCAGTCTTGTAACTTGTTACCTGTTCCATGGTTATATCCTTCTAGCGCAAATACAGATTATCTCACCTAACTTGGCGTCTCAGCTTGTGATTCTCAGGCGAGGTGAGATGCATAACTTGATCTCCGCGAACAGCGTTGCTACGGCTTGGCCTATTGTTCTACGGGTAACATTTTATCCACTGCTTGGTTAATTTTACACATTTTCTGACTATGGGTATATGCTGATGGTGTATTGGAAAGATATTGCATCTATCGTGTTTCTGCATTCGAAGCAGTCGATGATAAAAGATTGTCTACTGTATAGATCTTACTCTACAGCCTATGGGTCTCAACTGCACTGAGGCATCTAAGGAACACTTCACAAAGATAGTCTGGCAACATTTATTTTTTTGCTACGCAAAGGACGTTTTGTTGATACTTCCTCTTCACTTGTTCACACGATTGATCTGACACTTTGCAGAACGGTAGGCATATTGCCACTTCGTTTTTGTCCGCCTCATTTGACTTACTGAAGCTGTTCCAAAATCTTGCCGAGTTTGTTGCCCCAACTTGATATACGCAATGCAACAATCAGCATCTTTCCCTCTGCCTTGTATCTGAGTGGTATCAGAACAGAACGCTGCAAATGCAGTATTTGATCTTATTATAGATTATACTACTCCGCACTCCATCCCCACACCTCATCCGAAGCAGGGTCACAGTTCGTGCTACTGGGCAAGTTGCTGTGTATTATAAGAGCAGACAAGGAAATTCCTGAATGTACACACTCGACTACAATGGCTAACCAAACGCTTGACTACGGACATCCCTACTTACTCTTTACTCGCTTAGATGCAGAAGCCGTCGATCCAAGCTGGGTCCCGTCATTTGTCTCTCAGATTGTTACTCGGCAGTACTTCTCCGTGGCATTATTGACGGCCTTGGTCTATCATGCTTGTTCGTAGTACGGATCTTTGAATTGAATAGCCACTGACAAATTTCGATACCCTACTTAATAAGTCATAACAATGGATAAGGAGGTATGTCCACTACACATAATCCATCTCATATATGCTAAGGTCGATCGGTACAGGTGAAGTACTTTTGGGTGAGGGCTTTATATTCATAATTACAGTCCAGGCTTCACTCTAATCCCAGGCATGAAGTGCCATCCTTGTAACCCTACAAGTCTTGTCTATTTTGCAGTAAGTGCCACTATGTTACAGCAAGTTTCGAGATTGTAATCACGAAGTCTTAGAATCGCTACATCGGAATTCTTGGAGCAATTTCTACTATAGCCAGTGTGTAAAGTATCTTATGCGACGGAGCAATAACATTAAACGGCAAGGATGCTTATTCTAGATGATGTACTGAAAGAAAGTCTCTTAAGGTATGAGGAAGAAATATTTAATAAAACGAGTACTGATTTGAAACTTTAACACGGACCGTAGCTGTGTGTATTTCAACTAAACTCTCCCACTAGACAAATTTGTATTAATTGGAATCAAGGCCGGACTTCGGTTTGGACTAGAGAATTATGTAGTAAGTGATTTATGTGTTACTCACAAAGTTATGTAAATAATGTGTTATTAGACTTGACTACCTTTGTCCTCATACACTGTGAGAAAGCATTCTCAACACAATAAACACATATCCATGCAGACAATTACTCTACAGATATCCTCCAGGTCCGCGTAATGGCACTTTATCATCAAAGTATATTAGTCCTCAAGATGATTGCTAAAGCTGATCTTGGCAGATAGGAGGCTGTCCATCATCCTAAAGTTACTACTTGCCCTGGACGCAGCTATAGGTCTGGGACTTGTTATTTATCCGACTTTGTTTGAAGATAGTGAGCCACTCCATTAATCTCACTCTTCCTAATGAGTAGACTAAGAAGCACTGTCTCAGTTAAAGCGCTCCACCTTCCACTTGATATTGACGTTTGTGTAACCGGAAAGGAAATACCACGGTCACTAGAGATAATCTCATGGTAAGTTACTTATTCATACATTTGCCCCAAACTTATTAGTTGCAGGGTTGTACCTATTGTGTATGGCACCATATTACTGTGTTTGGCGCTTTTAAAAGCAGCGGAATACTGGAGAATATCAGCCGGATTCAAAGGATTTCATCTTGTCCAAGTACTCATTGAAGACCAAGCTTTATATTATGGCTTGTAAGTTGAACTTTGTACTGGGCGATTCTTTATACTTATTATTCTAGTGTCATAATCTGCTGCGTACTGCAGATACTTGAGCTCAGCACAAACTTCCTTCCTATCGTCACAACTTTTCTGAACGCGGCGGGAAGCCCAACCTTACTTTCCATTATTGGCGGTCATCTTTTGATCAGTATGAAAGAAGCAGGGGAGAGGGGCGCGAACAAAGGTACCAGCCTTCGGCTGAGCGACATGAGCGACATAGTGATTGCGGAAGGTGCGTTTTGCCATATCTCCGATATCTGAAACGCATCTGACTCGTCATAGATTCTCCTACAGGACTTCCGAGGGACGAAGGGCTACTTCTTGCTTGACAAAAGAGTTTGCGTCTTTCTCGTCAGACTGTGAACAGTCAAGCACCTTTCTTGCGGCATGCACATTATTCCGTTGTATATACCCAGTACTATCCCATTGCTTTCCCGATTTGTAGATTGAATTGATTGTTACACAGTTTTTATTATTGTAGCATTCTGAATCGTTGCATGTCAGTTCACAAAAGGGCTGCCTTTGCGTACATTTCGTATCTACTGATTAGCAGAGAGTCAAGCGGATGTTTGCCACATAAGCCATAAAGTACATACTGCGTGCCTTATTTAATGCTCCCTTCTACATATGCATTCGCAGATTAGAAATTGTTGAGACATTTAGCTCTTACAAACCTTCAATTACAAAAGCTCCAGGCACCTAGATCCTAAACTGCCCTTCTGCAAAGTATCACAAGATCTGGAAGCTTCGTCATAAAGTCTCGCCGCAGCTAAAAACAAACAGGTATTAGAGGCAATACTCATACTATCCAGTCCGAGTCGAAGGTACTGCCGGACCTTATCCAATTATCCATCTACAGCCATTCCACGCCATCACCCATACTTACTCCTTCACCACATCAATACATGAATAGTTTAGTCGACTGTCAGGAAATCTAGTTGTACCGAATTAGTAGAAAACGAACATCCTCTTCCGTCATAATGACATTTCACTGTGTCTAATCAGCGTTTTCGACAATTCTCAAGTGTTGGTTTATGACGTTAACACCAGAGAAAGGCTCGGCATGGGTAAGTTCAGTAAGTTCAATTCCGTTCTCGTCACTTCGAGGATTGAGTCTACCTATGTGTGGCGATGATCCGTAGGTGCGGGAGAAAGGGTGGTAATTTATTACGTTGAAGGATGACATTTTCGAAAAAGCTCTGTAACACTGTATCAAGGCAGGGCTTACGTAGAACACCAAATGGCCTTTGCTTGCGAATTGACATTTTCGTAGGTGATGTTGTATTATTGGATCGTTCCTTCCCCAAATAAAGCACAATAGGCTTTATGGCGCCGTAGGTTAGCTATCTCTAATCTACGTCCATTCATTGAACCAAAACGCTGGAGTAACCAAAAAGACAGACACTTAACCTATAAGCTAAACTTCAAAATCCTCTGCACACATTGATACCGAAGTTACGTCTTAATTAAAACTCCTGCGGTCCATATCCGACAACGCCTTCTTCCACTAACACGAGAAATTCGAAAGGTCCTATGAGTTAGTGAAACTCAAAGGGTGAGTTTGAGGTGGGGGGAGATAAGGTCCAGAAGATCACGAAAAAAGACAGATACATAGTTTTCGCTGGATTGCATCTGTAACGGCAGTTTTCAGACGCGGCGCAACCCCCTCCTCACGTCCCCTCTTTGTTACACAGTGAGAAACAGAAGAGAGTTGGAGGCGAGTCTTTGCATTGAATGTCGCAGATCGTTTTGCCACGTGGCCCGTAGCTGATAAAAATCGCAACATCAATCATCGTTTACGTTCCAGTACCATGAAACAATGGCTACTATGAAACGATGGCATAGCCGAAGACGGAGGAAACCTTCACCAATAATGAGCTTAACGAGCGCTTCTCCCTGTCTTGTTACACTACCACTAAGCGGTGCGCGAGTATCCCATCCACTCACACCGTACTTACTTCATACGCAGCGGCTGCATCGATCTCCATAGGCGTCAGTCAGATTATCTCCTTTTACAATCCAAATCAGCTCTCGATTATAAAAGTTCACTCAAATTCACACAAAAGGAGAGTCATTTAAAAAGATGAACAACGTACAAGTCCTCCAAAAGCTCTCTGTCGCATAAGCTTCGCTTCGATAAGTGAAATGCCCGCATTCGCAAGTCCAGTAATACCCAGTCCTTCAGAATGCTGTCATAAGTCCTGGCGTCATAGGCTTCTCCAGCCATGCCACTATAGTAATCGAGACCTCCACTAGGCGATTGAGGTTGGAAAGGAGCCATGCTCTGCAATTGACCTGTAGTCCATTTGGGACCTGCGCAATAGTAGTCATATTGGGACGAGTGGAACGAATGAGAGAGCGAGCATGTTGGCGTCAGTGAGGGGAACCATCTCTGAAGCGAGTGAACACCTGTTTCGACTTGAAAGGCGGGGTTGATTGTCGCTTGAGCGGCTGAGCCCAGGATCGAGCCAACACGTCATATGCAATGAAGTGTGCACGTGATGCGTATCACTAATCCGGTGCTGGCGTTTCTTTCGGTGATTACAGAACCCCTGATTAGAAAGTGCTTTCAACGTTGTTCTTGCTCGCTTTGCTACGAGTGAAACAGGAGTGCAATTCTGTCTCATTGCCTGCTGCATACCTGTATCCTCAATTGAACTGAGACGCACAACTTGTGCCTCTGTAACAGTGTTAACTTCAAACAGCGTTGCCTGTTGTTCTGCAGGTAACCTCTCATCCATTGCTCGTACATTTTTTCACACCTTCCGCTTAAGTATCTGCCAATGATGCATTAGCAAAGAAATACTGCCAAATGTGTTCCTCCACATTTGAAGCGCACAGTTAGTGATATTACCTTCCCAGCCAAACAACTGTGAGTACCTTCTACTGTTCTCTCTGACAGACGGAGCCAAAAGACTACCGACGGCATTAGTCTCACTCTGCCTGCAACGTATCGGTCTCAACTAAGCTGAGGCATCTAAGGAACACCTCACAAGGATAGCCTGACAACCTTGTTATTACTACGAAGAAGATGTTTTGCTGATCCTTTCTCTTCACCGTACACTCCATTGGTCTGATGCTTTGAAGACCTGGGAAGGTGTACTGTTACTTCGTTTTTGCGCGTCTCATCTGACTTGCTGAGGCTGTTCCAAAATCCTGCTGAGTTGTCTGCCTCACCCTGGTGTGCACAGTGCAACGGTCAGCATATTTCCGCCTTCCTTTGTATTATAGTAACACTGAAACGAAACGCCATAAATGAAGTACTTGGTATTACTATAGCGGGCTTATACTACTTTGCAGCCGCGTCTTATGCCTCATCCAAAACAGGGTCGCAGTTCGTACCCACCAGGTATGTTTCTGCTTCTTATAAGAGCAGATGAGAGAATTTTTGAAAGTGTACACTTGACTACAATGGAAAACTATGGACATGCCTACTTATTCTTCATTCGCTCAGATACAGTAACCGTCGATCCAAGCCTTGTGGAACCATCTGTCTACCAGATTGTTACTGAGCAATACTGCTTCGTGGCATTATTGGCCGCCTTGGTCTATCATGCTCGTTCGTAGTACAATCTCTTGAATTGAACATCTGCTGACAGAATCCATCACAATTTTAGTCATAACGATGGATAAGGAGGTATGTCAACTGCACGTAATCTCTCATATATACGCTAAGATGCATTGGTGCAGGTCAAGTACTTTTGGGTGAGAATTTCATACTCATAATTACTGTCTCAGACTGTACCTAATCCCAGGCATGAAGTGCAATCCATATACCCATACGACTCTAGTCTACTTCGCGGTAAGAGACATCATACTAGCACAGCAAATCGTAATCTCAAACTCTTAGAATCGCTACATCGGAATTCTTGGAGCAATTTGTCCTATAGCGTGTATGTGAGGGTTTCCATGCAACATTTGAAATAATACTAATCGGAAAAGATGTTTATTCTAGTGGGTGTACTGAAACAAAGTCTCTTAAGGTAGGAAGAAATATTCCACAAAATAAGTACTGATTTGAAATCCTGGCACGCACTACAGCTGTATGTGCTTCAACTAAACACTCCTACTGGATAACTTTGTATTAATTTGGAATTGAGGTCGGATTTGGTCTTGGACCCAGGGATTATGTTGTATGTGGTTTATTTGTCATACATGATGTGTAATTAATGTGTTATCAGCTTTGACTACAATCATCCTCATTGAATGTAAGAAAGCGTTCTCAACACTATGAATGTATATCTATACAAACGATTACTCTGTAGATATTCTCCAGGTCCGTGTACTGGCTCTTTATCATCAAAGTAAGTACTACATCCTCAAGGTGATCATGGCTAATATAGACAGATGGGAGACTATCTATCATTCTAAAGTCACTCCTTGCCATGGAAATAGCAATAGAATTGGGGTTTCTTATTTACGCAAACTTATTTGAAAATTGTGAGCTGCTCGATTAAGCCTAACCTACCTGGCGAAGGGCCTAAGCTGCACTTCAGTCGAAGTCCTCCACCTTGCACAAGATGTTGACATTTGTGTATACGAAAAGGAAATACCACTGCCACTAGGGATAATCTCATGGTAAGTAACTTATTCGTACATTTGCTGCAAGCTTATTGTACACAGGATTGTTTCTATTACGTATGACACCATGTTACTGTGTTTGGCCCTTTTCAAAGCAGCGGAATACTGGAGAATATCAGCCGGATTCAAGGGCTTTCATCTTGTCCGAGCACTCGTCGAAGATCAAGCATTTTATTATGGCTTGTAAGTAGAAACTCATACTGGGCAACTCCTGTATTTATTATTATAGCGTAATATTCGTCTGTGTGCTGCAGATAGTCAGTCGCGATCTCCACGATGTTGCTCCCTTCATCGCAACCTTTCTGAGCTTGGCGGGAAAGCCAACCTTACTTCCTATTATTGGCAGCCATATTTTGATCAGCATGAAAGAAGCCGGGGAGAGGGGCGCGAACAAAGGAACCAGCCTTCAGCTGAGCGACATGAGCGACATAGTGATTGCAGAAGGTACGTTTTGCTATATCTCCGATAACTGAAATTCATATAATTCGTCGTAGATGCTCCTACAGAACTGCCGAAAGACGAAGGAATAACTCTTACCTGACAAATTATTTTGCGTGTGTCAAATTGTGTACATTTGAATACCATCTGTGCAGCACACACAATGTTCCGTTGAACATATCCAGTATCCCATTACTTAAGAGCATTGTATTCCCCATTTGAGGCTCAAATAGATTGCTACGCTGTTTTCGTTCTTGAAGCGTTCTGATTCATTGCATGTCGGTTCACGAAAGGGTTTGCCTTCGCATACATCTAGCAGGGAGTCAAGAGGGTATTTACCACACACAAAAACTGCGTCAAGTCATGTGTACTGCATGCCTTGTTTTACGTTCCCTACTACACACGCAGATAAGAAACTACGAGACATCCACCTCCAACAGGCTTTCAATTCCAAAAGCTCCGGGCACCTAATCCCCCTTCCGTCCGCAAAGTATCACAAGATCCGGACGTTTCATCATATCCTCTCGCCGCAGCTAAAAACAAACAGGTAATAGAGGTAATTCGTACTATCCAGTCGATAGCACTACCGGGTCTCATCCATTTATCCGTCAAGAACTATCACACATTATCACCTGTACTTGCTCCTTCACCACATCAACACATGACTAGAATAATCGACTATCACGAAATCTAGTTATGCTGAATTAATAGAAAAAAGGCATCCTCTTCCTTCCTAATGACGTAACATACGAGAAAGACTCGGCGTGGGGTAAGTTCAGTAATTTCAATTCCGGCTCTTCTTACTTCGAGGAACGAGCTCTATGTGGCGATGATCCGTACGTGCGAGAGAGGGGGAGGATAATTTACGTTGAGTGATGATATTTTCCGAGGGAGTCTTTGATACAATATATCTAGGTAGGACTTACGTAGAAGTCGAACACCAAATGGCCTTTGATTGAGAATTGACGTGCTTGGTGAAGTGATACTATTGAATCGTTTTAGTCTCTTCTCCCAAATAGAGCGTAATAGGCTTTCCGACGACGCAGACTAGCTCTCTAATCCACGTCCCTTCATTGGTTTAAGACGCCGGAGTAACCAAAAAGATAGACACTAAACCTGTAAGCTAAACTTCAAAATCCTCCGCGCACATCAACACCGAACTTACGTCTTAATTAAAACTCCTACGGTCCGTAGCCGAGGCATTTCCTTCACCGACACAGGAAATCCGAAAGGTCCGAAGGTTAGTGAATCTCAAAGAGTGATTTTGAGGTGAAAGAGATAAGAAGGTCCGCAACGTCACGAAAAAGACGAATGCGTGGATTTCGCTAGATTGCAATGTGTAACGGCGCTTTTGAGAAGCCGTATCCTCTCCCCTCTTTGCCTCTTCCCCTCTTTGTTACGCACCGCGAAATAGAGAAGAGAATTTCGCAAATGAGATCTTTGATAATAATAAATATGGATAATGCAGATCATCGGACATTCGTACGTTTGTTCCCTGACATAAAGCCCTCAAGCCGCGTACATTTTTCATTTTCATTTTTCCTTTCCACTGAAAAAAGAAAATATTCGCAAAGGGTCGATAGATATTGCAGATCCGCGTATAATTATCCGCGCATGATCTTCGAAAGGCTATCGGGACTCGGATTCGGGACTCGGCGAAGGGGGAAAATGGCATTGACAAGGTTTAAGCTTAACTCCTATGTCTTCTTCTGCGGGGTTAGTCCGTATCTCTAAAGCTTTAAGAGACATAGACCGTCCGAGCGGCGGAGTAGCAAACAAACAAGTCCACATGTGAGATGAGATATTGTCGTCGGAATCACCTCATTCGCACCTTCCCTTCTCTTCTACGAATAGGCGAAGCGTGAAGAGAGGAAAGATGAGATTAGAGAAATTAAAAGAGAACGAGCGCGAGAATGAGAGAAGGCACCGAGAAGGGGGGCCACAAGCTTCCAGTCAAGAGCAACTTCGGCGAACCGAGCCGTAACATGGTTCTAGAACTCGTCTCGTTGCATTGAGCGATGTACCGTCAGGGCAGGCATAGGGGCGGATGAGGACGTTTATGGGTGATGGGGGTGATGGACCTGGAGCATGAGGCACACCGGAAGGAACCCTCGTTCGGTCTCGGTCTGTCGTCGAATGCAAATGGCTCCGTTTCTGTGATTTAGAGGTTCGTATCTGCACAGCTGGGCGAATGTTGATCTACACAGACAGGAAGCTCCGGCGAAGGATTCCGTGAAGGTGAATGAGTGACCTCTCCCTTGTAGACTTTAGTCTCGCACTATGCCATTACTGTAATGCCTTACCATGCCATACTATACCATACCACGACAGAAGATCTCTGCATCTATAAAAAGGGAGTCGACTCAGTACTCGGAGATGACATCCCTGAACCTACCCAGGCGTCTTCCCTTGAGGACATTTGTTCGTCAAAAATTAAAAGAGATCTATATAAAGTGAGTGAGCTGTTAATCTCGCGTGGGAACCCCAGATCTCGTTGCCGGCGGCAGCCAAATCACCGCACGTGCTCCGTCCTGCTCATGGTGCCGCTCATTCAATTTTTTTCTGTTCTGTTCCTGCACCGCCATCCATCTCATCTCGTCTGTTAAGCATATCCCTCATAACCTAAACATGTCCTTGCTATTTCGCAGGTGCTTCTCAGCCGCCGCAGCTGCACGTTCAGCCATGTCAGTCTATCAGCTTCCTTACTGTTTTTCTATCTAATTTTGACTCGTTTTATTCTGAATGACAGGTCAAACGTTTTCGTGCGTTTTGCTTTCCGGTTTTACAGTGCTATGTTTGCTCCTGACACGTATTCTGTCCTGTCTGTCGCAGTTCGATGTCGCTGTCAACGAAAACCCGTCAGGACGAATCGGTATGTACAATTATTCATTCAATATACACGTCTCTTTTGACAGCTATCGTACTTCACGTAGTCTTCAAACTCTACGATAACGTCGTTCCTAAAACGGCTCGTAACTTCCGCGAACTCGCAACGGGTCAACACGGTTACGGTTACGCTGGGAGCTCATTCCATCGTATTATCCCAGGCGTACGTCTATTTTCACCATCAATTTATTCAATCCTCCAATTACTTGCGTCAATCACGTCTTTCGTGCAAATAATTCTCATGTATGATTAGTTCATGATCCAAGGCGGTGACTTCACGCGACACAATGGGACGGGTGGGAAGTCAATATATGGTGAACGGTTCCCTGGTACGTTTCACACCTCCTGACCCCAACTCAATCTCTTCAATTTCCTCGTGTCCTGTTCTAATGACACTGTCGGTTTCTAGACGAGAACTTCAAACTCCGGCATAACAAGCCAGGTCTGCTCTCCATGGCAAATGCAGGCCCGAACACGAACGGATCTCAAGTACGTCTTTCCCTTCCTCTATTCTATTCCAATTTCCCTCTCCGAATCCATGTCCGTCGCTCACCTTACCCTACTATTCCTCTTCCTCTTAACCCTGCAGTTCTTCATCACGACCGTAGTAACCTCCTGGCTCGACAACCGACACGTCGTCTTCGGTGAAGTTGTCGAAGGGATGGACGTCGTTCGACTCATCGAGAAGCAAGGTTCGGACTCTGGTCGACCGAAATGCAAAGTCTCCGTAACCGCTTCTGGTACCATCTAATATTAATGCTGCTCCTGCTATATCTATATATCGCTTCCCCCCTCCCTTTCTCTCCGTTCACTCCTCCGGTCCACCTTCTCGTTGATGTCTTTGGTGTCGCTCTACCTTACACAATGAGATTTTACAAGTGGAGAACCTGACATTTTTTTAATTGATTGACCGTGTCGAACAATTAGGCCTTATCAGGCATAGTATTAGTTTGAAGCGTCGCACCACATCCATCTATCCCATCCATTTCGTTCCATCTATCTTTCCGCATAGATTCAATAATCACATCCCTCTCCAGACTCTTGCATACAAACAATTCCTTACACTTGTTGCATTTCTCTTCCGTTCTAAACAGAGTAATAATCGGAATCAGAATAGGAATCCAGAATACAAAAGAAACCTTCAATTCTATGTACACTGTTCTCCTATTCTACAAAGTATACAAAAGGATAAAAACGTCGCAATGTAGCAACATTCAAATCCTTTATTCCAACAGTTATACTGCTAACAATCTCTGCTAGGTTAGAAACACATCTAGCTAACAAGATTACATCCAGATCCTGCACATGTAGTATTCGTCAAATATACAGTGATGATAACTTGGTTACACGTACTACCAGCTGCAACTCTGACACCAGGAATATCTCCCTTAGCCTTCCCTTTCCGGCCAAAACCTTCAACATGAACTCCAACAGTTACACCTTTTGCAACATAAGCATACAATTTCTACTAAAGTATAATATAAGAAGTACCAGCTCTGAAATCCTCAGTCCATGTGAACGTGTTTGATTGTGTAGTGTATATTTCTGTCTTAGCAGCACCTTTTCCAGTAATACTATAGAAACAATTTTTGAGCATAGTAAGAACCCAGAGACAAGAGTAATAAGACATACGTCTAGAAGAATGCAATTGTAGGATTACCATCATAAATGTAGACTACTAATACTTGTGGTCAATAGTGCTCACAATAGTATAGGGTGCTGCAAAAGGCATACTATTAGTAAATTTGAAGAGCATTTATTGAACAGAAAAGAAGTTGCTCACGAGTGCCTCCATTCATTATAATTCTTTCCACACCACATTGTGTTGGTGTTGGGCTGTGTACAAAGATTCAAACATGTCAGCATATTCAATTGTGAAGGAATGCAAAACTGACGGATTAAACGTAACACCAAGCTGTGCTAGAGCAGAGGCTGCAAGAGTCAAGGAAACAACTACTGGTATGAGAGACTTCATTGTGTATAGAGAAGGACAGTGATGTTCTCTAGTGATCGGAATATGCTGACTGGGTACTTCTATCCAGGCTTATGGGTCTTAAATATGCTAAAACAGAGATTACCCGCTAAGCAAACACATCGGCCGTGGAATTCGCAATTGAAAATGACGAAGCCGTAGTAATAGGGTAGTCCTTGTGGCAGCCTAAAAACACGGACAATTAAGAGAAAGAATAGAGTGCAGAAAATAGAGGATAAATGAGAAGGTGACTGCAAGGGAAATATGGTAAATAATGCTTTAGGCAAATACAAGTACATTTGCAAAGTATTTCATTAAAACACTCTGTATAAAACTGACTGTAATTAGGAACCGAAAATCACTGTTCTTCTGCCTGACCTTCGATGTGCATAAAATTGCAGCATTGTACAAAACAATCACGTATACATTGTCTCATCGTGTTATTAGCTACAACTATCTGAGAGGGGAGAGGGTAGGGAAAGAGCATTCATACACGTATCTTGTATCTTGTAGCAAAACCAAATGAAAACATCAAACATCATAACAAAGATAGAGCCAAGTAAAAGGGGACAAAAAGAGAGAAATACAACACTAGTACTGCCATATTCTGCACAAAGGTCTACCACATCACATCCTTCAGACAACAATCTCATCAACCTTTGACTTATGTATACAAAATCCCTACGCAACCATTCAATCAGTCAGTCAATCCGTCAACTATAAAGAAACACGAGTAAAAGAAAGATAAAACTCACAGGCGTCACCCACTCCTTACAACTACAACACACCCCCGCCCAATCATAATTCCCAAGCTTCGCACCACACTTCTTATTCGGACACACAATCTTGCCTCCCAACTCTCCATTCTCAAGGAACGGCTCCATCCACTTCATCGGTTCTACGAAGTATCCCGAGCAGTTTGGGTTGATTAGGAGGGGCGGGGCTATTGAGGATAGTTGTTGGATTGAGGGGCTCTTCGGCGGGGGTAGGCCTCCTAACGTTAGATTGTTAGGATTTGAGTTGGAAGTGTTGGAGGTGGTGGTGGTGGAAGAGGGAGTGAGCGGCGTCAAAGGCGTCATACTCAACCCGCTCGTCGAGCGTAACGCAGCAAGCTTCGGGTTAGACTGTAACTGTGCAGCAAGGTCTGCTGGACTAAGATATCCAGATGGTTTACGCAACATCGGTGCAGTCGTCTCCGCAATCTCCGGCTTTCCATTAACACCATTTGCTTCGCCATTTCCAATACCGGTGCTGGCATCGTTTGCCTCGTCATCGTCATCATCATCTGCAATCGCACTTTCCTCATCTCCACCATTAGCATTTAAACCCTCTAGGGAACCGAGCATATTCGCAAGTCCACTCGGCCGTCTAGGCCTCGTCGAAGTCGTTGTCGACGTCATCGGCGTCATCGGCGACACCCCACTAGCACCAAACGACCCTGACCTCGAAACACCCGCACTCCTTGGTGTCAACCCAGGCGGGAACGGAAACTGTGGCTTCCCCACACTCGTCCCGGACAACCTCCTCATAATCGGTATCGGCTCTCCATTCAACGTAGCCAAGTTCATCACTTCCGCATTATTCATATTATTCGCATTCGCCGACGCGCTCATCGAGCCTCTCCTTGACACAGCTTGTTTGGGTGTCATACTAAGACCATTCGGTTTGGAGCCGTCGGGCATGTGGGTTGATGGACGGCGCGATGCAGCTGGTGAGAGGTTAGGAACACCTGCAGGCGTGGCAGGTCCGACCTGCCCGTGATCGAGCATATGTTCGCGCGCTGCGAGCTCTGTACGACACATCTTGCATCGAATGCGCCTGCGTGGGGGTTGAGCGCCTGGTGTCGCTGGTGTTGAGTCCCCTGGAGTACGTGGGAAGGAGGCGAACATCGCCGTGGCGGGTATTCCTTCACCATCTAAATAAAATGAAATAAATAATAAATAAAAGAATAGCATATAGTCAGTTTTTGTTGTCGGAGCAGACAAGAGGAGATCGGGATACGCACTCATGATTTCGTCAAGTGCTCGTTCAAGGTAGTACATACGCATTGCTTTGTTCCTCTTCGATACCTTGTAACTCGCCTGGTAGAATATATCGAGCTGCGCGAGGAACCCATCGTTCGGTCTATCTCACTCATCAGTACCAATCGCCTCGTACATATAGACAGTGGTCCACTCACTGAGTCCCAGGCCGAGCCTTGACGATCTTCTCCAACGCAGTCTGCGCATCAAGCTGTTCCGCATACATCAGATACGCAGCAGCAATCGTCGCACTCCGGCTCATCCCCGCCTGACAATGCACTAACACCCCTCTCCCCTGATCCAGCTCATTCTCGATAAACGATATACACTGTGGGAAGAACGCAAGTGCGTCTGCGTCTTCTGTATCGTCGAGTTGAATTTGAAAGTGTGTGAATGTCTCGGCGACGCGGACTTTTCCGCGCATGCAGGAGAGGACAGAGTGGATGTTGTTTGCGCGGAGGAGGGCGCTGTCGGAGGCTGCGTGGATGTTACCTATCCAGAGACCTGGGGTGACTTCGTCCATTGTGTTTGGTTCGTCGTTGTCTGTCATTATCACTACGTTGCATGAGCTGGGTGTGTGTGTGTATGACGATGTGGTGCTGATAGTAGTGGAGGAGGTATAAGTATTAATTTTAAAGGCGAGTGTGGCACCGTCTGGATGATTCTGCAGTGTAATTTATCGCGTCATGTGACATTCTACACTAACTTTGACTCCGCTCAATTATTACTCTAGTAATTATATTCATCAACACCATCACTCCAACAAATCAAACACCTTATCACTCATCGTAATGACTCCAGAATCTCTCAAGGCTGACGCATACAACTTGACAAGGCCCTTTAGTCGATCGGACGTATTGACGAGTTCGTTTAGTTTTCGAAATTTACTCGAACTCTCTGACACGATCTTGACGGCCGTCGATGCCCATATGAACAACCCTTCCGAAGCATCAGCGAGTATCTGCATTCGCTTGGCACACGCCAAATATCTGGAATAATGATCAGTGAATTTTCGATGATCCTGGACATCTTGTAGTCGATGTATCGAAGAACGTCGCGCTTGCTATCAGCATATCTAGCATCCAAATTAATCTCGTATGCTGAATTTGGTCGGTCTGACAACGCTGTGATGATATCGTCCTCTGGTCTGCTTGTAATGAAGAATTGGAAATTCGAAGGCAGCTTTCCGAACTCGTCCTTGGAAAGCTTCATTAAGCTTCGTCGACTCTCAGACGTACCATACGTCATCCAATGCATCAAGAATAATGACAATTGGACCGTCCACTTTGTCTTTTGTCGCTTTCAGTGGCTCCATAAGAGGCTCCCTAAACTGGACTTCAGCTACTGCCTTGTATCCGCACTTTGGTATAACAGCTTCAATTGATGAATCGAACAATGTGAGTTGGAAAGCGATCGTTCAAAGATGGAAGTGAGCTGATCATCACCACAGTTGCATCGAGGGGAAGGTGAGCTGGGATCAACTCGTGGTAAGCAAGCATGGATGAAAGGATAAATAAAACCCCACTCGGCCCATTCATACATCTTCCGGATAACTTGCTGGCCTCGATGTCAATTGAACCGATGCAGACATCATCTCGAAATGGGATTACTGATTTATGCAGGAGCTTGATCGAAACGATTGTGGACACATCTGCTGTTGGACTGCACTGCTGACATGATCCTGATATTGAATTGGATGGAGCGCGTACAATGATAAAGTTTCATCCCGTATGTGCAATTTATCACTGATGGGATGCGTCTCTCGAGCTCGAGGAATATCGCCGAGATATATTTTGACCCGGAGGTTTGGCACTTTGCTGTGCAACGACCGATTCTAATGCAGACCGTCGAGGCGTATCACTGAAGAGTACAACATCAATGTTAGATCCAGCTGGGACCCTGGAGTTGAAAGACGCACCCTGAATGTTGAGCATTGCCCTGTTGATGAGGGTGAATGGGGAGGGTAGGGTGCAAGGCTGTACACCGTACCTCCGCCCACGCATGGGAAGCATGATTGACGCCAATGCCACAGTAATTGTAATTGGCCCATCTGCAAAAATAGTGAATTCTTTGCCTTGTGACAATTTTCTGACTATCGGGAGGGTGGACATGCCGAGGCTAAGACCTCACGTCAGCCCATTAATTCATATCTTTCTGCATAGATATATCAGAGATGCTCCAAGCAACTTGATGCATTAGGATAACAACAGAACAGTCTGTTTCCTTGTTTCTCTGTTATCCACTGTGAGCGCATCTGATTAATAAGATGTACTAACCCTCCATTCATTATTATTTAAGGGCCTCGTGTCATAACTCACCCAAATTGGCAAGATTAGCTCAAAAAGCAGATAATGTTGCAGTGCTTTGAATAGTTGAGCCTTCTTATGCACTGCATATCGTTATTCATATTACTGACGATATACGGGTACCCAGTACATAGTTTCCACACTACTCTGTAAAGGTATATATCATCACTTGTTCATCCTGCTGTACTGCCTCACCATCAAAGCTTACCCACTGTTAATTGACAAAACACCGGAGCAGTGTAATGTTGCTCTATTCGCCGACAATGATGAGTTCGTTTCCAATGCAATATGTGTGCACCCGGCTACATATAATCTGGGCTACAAACTTGTCCTTTGTTCATCTGACTCCCCGGCCCACCTTTGCTACCAATATGAATGCAATCCAGACAGAATTATTGCCTCATTTACAATCTTATGCTACTATTACTAGTCTGCATTTAAGAGGTATGCGCGTTCTATATGCTTGGAGTGTATTACTGACTTGCTAGTTCAGTGGCTATCCTGACGATGTTCTCCTACAATTTCGGTATATTAACGTGATAGTTCAATAGCAGGTTCACAGTAGCTAACGGTTTGTACATGCAGTACTCTCTATTGAAGATGAGGTTTGCACTCAATAGAAGAACTGTGTTGCAATGCATTATTTAACACTTACAACTCATAAAAAAGGTTGCATTCATATGGGTGGGTAATGTTATTCATGGTCTTCCAATGCTCATCCACTGAACGTTGGAAGTAGACAAAATCCTTTTCCTTTGGTACAATTTTCTACATGGTTGGGCGGTACCTTGCTGCATTTTCGGTGCTGTAAGTGTTTATCCTATATTATAGAATACTTATTCTCATTACAAACTTGACTGGTTATCTTAATACTTACTGCTAGATATGCAGCATGTAAAAGTACGATGAGCTCTTAGCAAATACTACTACTAATGCTAATCTATCCTTAACAGGTGGCTTCCACCTCATTTTACTTCAAGAATGGTCTGGAGATTGTGACATTCCTGATTTCCCCTTTGACCCTGACAGTAAGATACCTTGTATTATGATTATTGAAGTACAGGATTCGTGAGTATATACTACAAAATTATACATTCACTTTACTGATTTTATTGTGATTATTACTAGTGGAGGTTTGTTAAGGAGTTACTACTGTAGTTCTTGTCTTACTCACTACATACTATTCAGAATATGATTTTCCGTTCAAAGTGCTCTTCTATACAACTGCTATTGTTGCAGTTTGTGCAATGGGTATGTATCAGCTTATTTTTCCATTGGTAGTCAGGATATTAATAACTTTTTAAAGTACTACTTCAGTTAAGGACATATGCTCTTTATAACAAGAGCAAGCTTATTCTGGGCTTGTTTGGTGTACTCAACATGATAGCCATTATTTTCTTTGTCATTGAACTCACTGCATTTAAAGGTATGTAAAAACGGGAATCTTATTTATGAGTCTGCCTCTAACTTGTAATTGTTTAGGACTCCAAGAAGATCCGCGATACATTGATGCGATATTTGGCAATGAGTACTTTGGCTCAGGAACCAATTACTCTCCGTTATTCTGGTTACCTTTCATGCTCAACGAGATGGTTACATTCATTTTGGTGGTGATAAGATATTGGAAAATACACAGACATATTAGAGCTCCAGGTACCAAAAACAACACATCCCTGTCTAATATCATTGTTCGAGATAACATCATCTATTTCTCAGTGTAAGTGGTACTTACAACTGACATGCACTGTATCTTATCTTATTTTTTGCAGAATATTTTTTGTGTATCTTTTTGGATTGCTTCTCCTAGTGAACTATGAACTAGTATGTGTCTTTACTGTGCTGTAGTGTGTTAAGGACTGATGTAAATTTCACAATTAGCTCTTTTCCTTAGCAAACACACACCTCCTGGCTTCAGTAGCAATTTCCGGAATCCTTGCACCAAACCTTTTCTTGTCCTTGAAGAAAGGATTCTATACACAGGGACAGAGCACACAAGTGGGCACTGATGCAACAATGTTCCATGCTACTGTACCCTCGACTGTTGGATCACGATTTTCAGTGAGCTACTTTAACCTATAAATTCCATCCATTACAACTCTAACTTTATCTCAGACTGTAACAACGTAGAAATAAAAGATAGTCCACTTTTCATGTATTGATTTATCTGCAAATGACACACCCTGTATTTATTGAATGAGATTATGGATTCTGGACGGATTGCACTAGCTGTATAGAGGATTGGTCTGAAGAATCAGTCAAGAACACGACTTGCTCTAATTAAAACCAGTAACAACACTCTATATCAAGCACCATCACTCTGACAAATCGAACTTCTTATCATTCAGTATCTGAAGGAACTCCCTCCCTCCCCTCTCCCACCACTCATCAACTTCCCTATCCGGATTATACCCGAACATCACCTCATACTTCGCCTTCACCCTCCTTCCCTTCACCTCAGTGCAAGTAGGAGAGGGCGGAGTGCATGATATGTTGACGGAGAGAGGCGCTGTCGGGGGATGCGTGGATGTTACCTATCCAGAGACCCGGTGTGACTTCGTCCAGACGATTCTCAGATTCTGCAGTGTAATTTATTGAACTTTGACTCCACTTTTAATTATTACTCTAGTAAATAAATTCATCAACACCTGAACACCAATCACTCCAACAAATCAAACACCTTATCACTCGGCACCTGAAGGAACACCCTCCCTTCCCTCTCCCACCACTCATCAACTTCCCTATCCGGATCATACCCAAACATCATCTCATACTTCACCTTCACCTTCCCTTCCCTTCCCTCATCCTTAACGTCCCCATCCTCATCAACACCCCACTCCTCATTCATCCTCTTCTGCATCCCTTTATCCCTTTCCTCCTGCTCGGGTCCGTCATGAATATGAAAGGGTCCCTGCATTGCACGTGAGCCGAGCTGCGCGGCCCATGCACGTTCGGCGCGGAGAAGTTGGTAGGTTGAGAGGAAGTAGGGGAGTTGGTTGGGTGAAGTGAGGTGGGAGAGGAGGTTACCTAGGACTGCGGCGTCTTCTACTGCCATTGCTGCTCCTGCTGCTAGGTATGGCTAACAGTGAAGATTTCCAAATTAAGGATTGCGTTGTTAGATTAACGGAATGGGAGACGTACGAGCATTGGATGACACGCATCGCCCAACAACACAACTCTTCCTGCCGGGTGCATCCACTGTCGTAATGGTTTATGGTCCATTAACCTCCATTTTACAGGGTTCTCAATCAAGGACAGGATTTTCTGGCATCTGTACGTCACATATTTTCCAATAAGAAAAACACCAAATTAGATGGGTTGGAAGGAGAGGGAAAGCGCACCGAGGCTCGTATTTCGCGAACTGTTCACGCATGGTTTTGACGTCTCCCGGTGCAACCCATGATTCGATTGCATCATCGTCTGGATGGATGAAACCTAAGTTGTATTGTTTTCCTCCGCTCTTCAATACAAATAGAGAAATCTTTGTCAAAAATTCAATCACAACAAGAGAGTGTACGAGACATACCATAGGATACCCAACCATATGCGTACCCTCACCAACCCAGACCGTCAAATCCCCCTTCTCAACCAACTTCTTCAACTCCTCATCCTTCGACATCAGTTCCGTCGGAAGTATAACCCTATACGTCGCATCACCCGTCGCCTCCGGCTTCTCATCATCCCGCACAATCAAACTCCTAGTCAAACTCTTAATTCCATCCGCACCAATCACCAAATCTCCCTTTACCACTTCTCCACCTGCCAACCTAACCGATACTTTCCCGTCTTCTGAGCTTGGTATGGGTTGGATGTCTTCGACGGGAGAGCGGAGGCGGAGAGTTACGAGAGGTGAGGAGAGGGCGAGTGAGCTCAGGATTTTATGAAAATCCGCGCGATGTAAGAACATATTCGGCGCTCCAAACCTCTTCTCCATCCGTTCACCCATAGGCATATACCCCAAGACTGTCCCATCAGCATACCTCAAATGTGCCATCCCTTCACTTCTCACACCAACTCTCCTCAACGCTTCCCCTGCACCCCATTTTGCAAGTAAGCGTGTGATAGGAGGGGGAAGTACAACCCCGACACCGACTTCACCTATTTCGCGTGCGGATTCAAGTATGGTGATGGTGTGACCTGCTTGGGAGAGGGTGTGTGCTGCTGCGATGCCTCCGAGTCCGCAGCCGATGATGAGGATGTGGAGAAGGTGGGAGGATTGTCGGCCTCCGTAAATGTGTGGACGTTCAGTAGGGATGGCGTCAGCAATAACGGAGGAGCCTGACGTCTTCTGCATGGTGCTCTACAAGAGTATAAATTTGATGAACTGAACTTGATGAGGTCCATCAAGACGAGCTTTATAGCTCGACTATCAGTGATCAGCGCTGTCTCACGAGCCGGGACCCAGAGAAGAAGACGAAGACAGAAGGAGTAGTATAGTAGCACGGGTCCAGTCCGATGATAGAGGATACATCAAAGCTTGACTTTGTCAATCATCACGTCTGAGCAATATCAAGAACGATAGTGATACGCTTTGCTATTCATCAAAGCAAAAGAAGCATGTTCCCATTGATGAAATCGATGCCACGGTTCTAAGCAGGCATTACGAGTGCGTAGACGATAGGACGTAGAAGAGTAGTAACAGTGGTTCTGGCTAAGAAGTGTCAGGTGTATATATGTCCGACTCGGGCACCGGGCAGACTAGATGATGTTCACTATTTTATGTTGTTTGTCGATGTTTGAAAAAAAATGAGACCGCGGAGAATGATGTGACTAAGCTATTCTCGGCATCAGTCACGTATGTGTGACGGTATCCCGACAGTGTTAATGCCCGAGTGCATCGCTGCTCCAGCTAAGAAGCGTTATGTATACATGCATTACCTGGAGGTCCAACTCGAGCACTGGGTACTAATTTGCTGTTCCAATAATGTTCGAGTAATAAGCGGGCCGAGGATGACGTGACTGGTCTATTCTTGGAGCAGTCACACGTATCTGGACAGCTTGTGATCCCCGAGCGACTGCGCATGCTGGCATCATCATCATCATCATCTCCTTGTCCTCCTTGTCCTCTTCCTCGTCTCTCTCTTGTTCGTTGCTATCACCGCTCATGCAGCGCGTCTGGTCCACCTACCTCGACCCAGGCAGCAACAGCAGTCACGGCCACAACGGCCAAGACACCGCCGGCCGGTCGGTAAGTACTTCATCTCATCTCGGCTATATTCACTTAGGTAAAACATGCACTAATAACCGTCCTTCTTTTCCCCTCCGTCCATCCCATATATCCAATCCAATGGTTCAATTCCATAATTCCATTCCTCCCCTCGTCGACATGGCTCCGTGCTCCCCGTCTATTTTCCTCCCTCGTCGCTGGGAAAGACCAATGACTATCCGTAAGTTCTTTCCGATTGCGGTCCCTCGTAGAAGCATCGACAAGCGTGTGAAGTCATACCTGTCTGCCTTTCTTCTCGTCGACATCCGCCATTATCATTCCCTCTTATATTTCAACCACGTAGTCCAAGGCTAACGCGTCGTTTTCCTCGACTGGTAGACACCGACGTACATCCTCCAGTATGTCGCACGCCAACTCAATAGCCTCCTCCCAACGACATATCCTCGCCGACCACGACTACACCCTACCTCTCGAACCTCCCAACGCCCCCTTCACTGGCCTCCCCCAACAAGCACCTGGCTCCCCAAGTAGCAGTCTACGAACCATGACCGGTCCAGGACCCGCCGTCAACACCAACTCCGACAACGCCTCAACAACCAACAACTCCCTCTCCGTCAACTTCTTCCCCTCAAAATTTTCATATCCATTTCTCTCCCCTGGTGGGATGTACAAACGTAAAGGCAAAGGCGGCAAGGGTGGGGCAGCGGTGATACCTAAACAAGGAGGTGGGAGAGAGGCTTTCAAGAGTGGGGAGGCGCGTATGCCGGGTGAGAAGGATGAGGATTATGATGGTGTGGACATGACTCGTGGAACGTGGAAGTCGAAATTGAGGTGGAATCGATTTAAGTGGATATTATTTTGTACCAATTTACTCGTGCGTTCTGATCCTCCTAGTCTTCCTTCCCATTACTATTTCTTAATATTGATGATTATTAACTGATAATGCGCAGGTGTCCATATACTCTCTCGTCTCCCTCATCTTCTGCCTCCTCACCTGGTTCAACGTCTGGACACACGCAGACGTCATCCGCGTCGGGAACCGCACCGTCCTCATCCTCTCCACAATAGCCTCAACCTTCGGTATCCTCTCCTCTCTCATCGGCTGGGCAGGCATCTTCCTAAACAACCGCAGCTTCCTCGCAACATACAACCTCCTACTCTGGATAACATTCGCGTTCATCTGTGCTCCTGGTTACGTAGCTTATAAAACTCGAACATTCAACCTCGAAGGGAAAGTCAACGCTCAATGGTCTCGGGACCTCGGTACCACGGGTCGTCTTCGCATTCAAAATCAATTAGGGTGTTGTGGATATTACAGTCCCTTCGTAGAAGCTACCTCTTCTCAACTCTGTTACGCTCGATCCGTACTCCCGGGGTGTAAAAATCCTTATCTCAAATTCGAACGCACCACACTCGAAAGGTGGTATTCGATTGCTTTCGGACTCGTACCTTTTCACCTTGCAGCGATTTTAGCAGCGTTGCTTTGTTCGAATCATGTGACGTATAGGTTTGGGAAGGGGATGATGCCGAAGCGGTATAGGTTGAGTGTGGGGAGTATGGCTGTTATTATGGATAATTATGCGAATCAGCTTGTGGAACAATTCGGAGCAGACGTAGCCTCTGAACTAATCGCGCGGTCGAGATCGAACTTGAACCTTGTAGGGAGTGTTCCGAGTTTGCATTATGGATTCGGGAATGGGATAGGGAGTGGGAGTGGGACGAATACACCCTCGCTTGTTGATGCGAAGAAGTTGTGACAAGTAGGATGGGTGGGACTCGTGGGAGGTGGAGGTAGGAGGTGAGATGTAGGATATACGTGTAGTAGAATTTTGGACTCTGGATATCTTTGCTCTTTGTTTTATCTGTCGTTCCTTCTTTTGTTTTCCTGTCCCTCCTTTGCATTGTTGTTTCGTTGTTTTTTGGGATGTTACTACTCATGTCTTACCCTTCTTACAACTACCCATTTTCCGTCTTCTCCCTTCACACTGTGTCATCTTCGTCTTATTATCTTACTTCATTCATTTCCCTGTTGTTGTTTGTTGTTTGTAATCAGTCGTTCAGTCGTTAGTTGTTCTGTTATCTCTAAAACTTTCTGTTGTTGAAACTTTCATCTGTGTTTCCATTGTCGAATAATAGTACTTAAATATTAATTTTAAAGACTTAAAATTGGTATGCCTTGTTGAATCTCTAAGCATTAATATTACTTCCATTTACTTATTCAATTTCAATCACTGTATCTTCTGCTCTTACTTCTATTACTCCACCATTTGTTGGTCCACTCTCTCTATTGTTTCACAACTGTATTGTTTGTTTAGTGTCCAGGTTCAGTTAAACTGCAGATTTGGCTTATATTCATTTCTAACTGTTTACTTTTTACTTTTTACTGTTTCTAATCTTTTTACTTTTTACTGTTTTTAATCTTTTGACTTTTAACTTTTGAGCAACTGTGTTGTATTGTTTTAATTTGCTTTACTTTAGTAATACATTTATTATTCTAAATCCTTATTGAAAAATTTTATACTATTGAGCAAGAATATGAGTACAGAATAGTTACTGTAAAGGCAATAATATACAGATATATATTGTAATATTGATAAACATATGCTAATGTCTTACTAGTTAGAGACTAGAAGGAACTGAGACTACTTGAGCTATTTTACCCTAAGCATTGGATTTATATACAACTCTCTTCATTATAGTCCCAAGATGTTTAAGGAAAATAAGAGTACTTAATCCTGTATATAACATATTGCTCAATACTAAACACTAACTGTCTTATTACTGTAAAATGCTGAACAGTCTGGTAATTGATTCAATATCATTTATAATTAAGATATATCTCTTCACACTAAAGGGTAAAATATTGTGAAATTGAGTAGTTATCCTAGTAACATAGGTTACTATAAATACTGTTTGCTCCTATTATCTAATTACTTCCTTCCTTCCTTTCTTTCAGAAGTATCACACCCTTCCCTGCACTTATTTCTCGCAAAAAGAAATGTTTTCGCATCACGGCTAAGATCTGTTAAAAATGGCTAATTCCCCGTTGAGCCATCACTTGTCTCTTGTAATAGTCAGCAGTTGCTGGACTTTCTCTTTCTAGTATCTTCATTGTTTCCCAATCACTCATGCCAGGTCCTGGTGCACGCCCGCCCATGGATCCGCTCGTTCCAGCACCATTTTCTATTTGCTGTGGAATATACTTATAGGTTGTAGTTTCTTCGTCATCTTCGTCATCTTCATCTTCATCTACTGAATCTTCCGTATAGTCTGTACTTTCTGCATATTCTGAGCCGTATGTAGATCCGTAATTCCCATATGCTGCACTTCCTGCACTTGCACCCTCGTAACCATTCATAGGGAATGAATACGACTGCCGTGGTAAATTAAATTCTGGTGCGCCAGCTGTTGGCCATGTTTGTGATGTTCTGATTGGGTATTTTTGTGCATTAGCAGCTTTTGCCCTTTCTTCTTTAAGTTTAAGCTCCTCTACACGTCTCTCCACCGCACCCCTCAGTGCAACACTGATACAAGCTTGGGCATTCTCCTTTATGCCCTCGTCGTACTCCTCCATGCGTTTGGTAATGACTTCCTCCCGTTCCTCATGTTCCCTCAACTCATTTTCATAGTTTTCTCTTGCCAGCTTTGCTTTTTCTGATCCCTTCTCGAATATGTCAAGAACACCGTCTCTAACCCGAACGTTATGCTTGTCTAGCGTTTCTGTCTCGTTATTCCGATGTGCTTTGATTCTGTCGCGTATGTTTCTGAACTGTGGGGCAATGGAAAATCAGTTCATATATCATTGTATGGAATCTTAAAACGAAGGTAATGCAAACTTTTCCAAATGTATCTCTCCTTGCCTCCTGCTCTATCGCACTTGGTTGTTCGTCTTTTGGCTTTCCTGCCAAATATCTATCCGAATGGAACTGTTGCTAAAGAGTTCACCGAATAAATGTCAACTTTTTAAATTACAATTTGTATTGGTAGTAAGAGATTTGGCGCACCAAAGATCTATTGATTTGTATAAACCCATCTTCTGTACATAGATGTGTTGGAAGTCCCAGTTCAGAAAACAGGTCGCGTAATTCTTGAACATATTCAACGTATTCTTTATTCTTTGGATCACACACAACTGTAATTTTCTTCGGTGCCTCCAAGAGGGCAGGCTTCTTTTTCGTAGTTGCTGTACTTCTAGACGCAGGAGGACGCTTACTAGCTTCCCTCTTAGTAGCGTTCTGTACCTTTGCTTTTCCTGCCGTCTTTAAATTTGAGGAACTGTCTGAGTCAACTCCCGGCTCCCCATTCGCTGTAGGGGCCGAACTAAGCGTTGTTGTACGCCTCTTAGGTGTTGTCTTCTTTTCTGCTTGTCGTGCACCATTACCCACCTTTTGCCTGGCCGGCTCTGCTTTAGACTGAGTTGGAGTGGAAAAAAGCCCTGTTGGACGTCTACTAGTTCTAGGCCTCTTTTTGAGGTCTGGTTGCTCGCCATCTGCCTGCTTGGCCTTTGTTTTCGTAGGAACATCAGCCCTTGATGCACGTCTACTCAGTGATGTCCCAGTGTCCGATTGCTCTTCATCCTTCACCCCGACTGGTTTGTCACCATTCCTTGTTCTGTGTTTTCTACGTTCGGTAGTATGCACCTCGGCCACGCTTTCACGCCTAGGACTTCTGCGTTTATGACGATGATGTCTGTCTCTATCGCCTCTTCCCCCTCGATCATGAGTATGCTTATGTTGCCGATGTTTTGAACGTTCGCCATTGTCATGGCCGGAAGAACTGCTACTGTGTCTTCCTTTAGCTCTCCGTCCACCTCCCTGAGGAGGTATCCTAAACATCTTGTGAATGTCCCCTAAGTAATATGACTATATGAGTGATGCTTTCTGCAGTTATATTGCCTCCTTCTCTTTTAACCCCTCTCCAGACGCAAAGGAGTAATACAAGCCTTCCAATTTCCCACCTTTCATGCCGTCACGAGGGTCAGATCATAGATAAATTGCAATCAGTAAGCAATGCAAAAATTCGGCATCAGTCAATGTACGCAGTCATATCAGCCAACACCAAATATGGGCGAGAAGCAAAACTAGACTTTGAAACTGGCCGTGCCAAGAGTTTCAAGGGATGATCTTTCTAGAGTTTGCACTAAACAGTACCTGAGATTGATTTAAAGGAATAATTCCCGCGCTCTGTGTATAGTACTGTATACCTTTCTCCTTGGTGACTATCAGAATTCGTTACTCTTGCTTTTGCCGAATCGGTCTACCTCCAATTACCTTATACCTTTCAGCAATGTGTTTGAGACATTGAAGGCTGCAGCACTGACTATGCTGTTCATGTTCTGGTTTAGGTACTTAAGAAGCAAAAAAGCAAAGCTGTGATGCCATTGATTTCGGATCACCTTGGATACTATTGCCAACTAATCTAGGGAATACTTCACAACACAAATCTGAATGACCAATCAAGCTTGCTACAATATTCTTACATACATATTCGAATGTGCAAAGAGGAGATGGGAGTACACAGTCAACCAATGATAATTCTGAAGGAAGACATAACTCAAGTGTCTAATCCTACTCTGGTCCTACTGAAACGTTCGTGCACACTTTACGAAATTTAGTCATTTTTATTTTATTTTAATTTCTTGCTATTCTAAGGAAATTTAATGGGACATTAGGAGATTCGATCTGGATTATGTTACAACGAAATAAATCGCAGTATAATCGATCTCTACTTAGATTCCCTAGATACTCTTGAACAATATAACAATATATGTTGAACATTGAAAAAACTAGTACTTATCAATTTGAACTTCACACTATTCAATGAATTCTCTCATTCCCTATCAATGTTGATCCAAAACAAGAATGCTGTGTTATCCTAATTACCAGTACTGGTGACATACAGTGATTGCAAACTACCATATGGAACCTATCCTTTCATACCTTGCATACAATATGAGTACTTAAGTTCTGTAGTAACTACTAGTAAGAAGGAACATTCAAATTCTTTTTAAATTATGAACAGGCAGCTTGTTCATTGTCTTTACTGTGCTGCTCACAACCTGGCCAGATAGTCCAGTGTTTGGCTAGCAGACCAGGATCCAGGAGGTGCATCAGAATTATTCTGAACACTTCTTGGCAACGAGGATGTGTGCTGAGGAGTTGCTGATGTCCCTCGGATAGTATACCATGGCGGCGTGTATGAAAACTGTTCTTTATACCTTCTTCTCTTTTCCTCCTCTTCGAGCTCTTTTATGTGTGCCTTCAGTCTGGCTCTCATAGCCGTCTTGATACAAGCTTGAGTTTTCTCATTTATGCCCTTATCGTACTCTGCCATAAGTTTCTTTATAATCTCGTGATCATTATTGTCTATGAGATACTCTTTGTAGTCTTCTCGCTCTTCCTTTGCTTTCCTCTCTGCTCTATCAAACACGTCTTTGACACCATTGACATAATGATTATCTCCTTCGTTTAACTCACACTTTTTGATATTCTTATATGTCGCATTAAACTGAAACAATGTAAAAAATCAGTTCAACTGTAGAGACTGAGTCTAGATTGGAAGAAACAGACTTCATTCCACACATCATATTTTGCCTTATTCTCCAGCTTGACACTGTTCGACTGATCGTCATTCTTGACTTTACTTGAATGGAATTCTTTCTAAAGGAAACAAGTAACGTTAACTGATACTACTGTTCCAGAGAATATTTGGCGTACTAATGTATGAGGAACTTGCTCGAATGCTGCTCTTGTGCGTAAGTAAGGTGGAAGGCCCAGGAACTCGAACAGGTCTGATACTTGTTTTGTATAACGAAGCAATATGTCAGTATTGGGCTGAGAGTCTTCTGAAGAGTCAGTCTCAGAGTGAGAATTTTCTGATTCAGTCTCAGCTTGAGAATTCTCGGATGATTCGGCCTCAGGCTGGGAGTCTTCTGCTAACTCAGCGTGAGAGTATTCTGATGCATGAGACTCAGTTTGAGAGAACCTTGATGCTTTGGAGTCAGCAAGAGAGTGTCCCGATGCTTGTGATTCAGTAAGAGAGTGTTGTGATGTATGTGAGCTAGTACGAGAGTGTTGTGACTCTAAGTCCGACAAGTTGTCAGTTTCCTCCTGTTTCTTAATGCCTACTTCAGAGGAGGCCTCTGTATTATGAGTACTTGGGGATTTTCCCGGAGTAGCTTTGCTTTTAGTACTTATGGAAGTATGTCCGGTCCCTTTGTAGCTTCCTGGCTCTATAGCACAGTGATTGTTGTCCTTGTGTCTATGTTTCATCATTCTCTGAGCAGGTTTTTTCGGTTCCTCCTTGGACCTCTTTTTCTTAGCAATCCATACTCGCTGCTTACTTGGCTGTTTCTCCTCTTGTTGCTTTCGTACATTTTCCTTAGATTTTTGTTGCTGCACCTTGACCTGTTTATGATGCTTGCTACTAGTGTGTTGGCTTTGATGTTCAGATCTTCCAGCATTCCCATTCTCATTGCCCAAGTTATCTGATACTACTTTTGCAATTTTTTTGGCTCCCTTATTCTGAGATGATTTTGTCCTCCTAAACATTATGTGTATGCAACCCAGAAATTGTGAAAAGTTGATAATCTATAAAGTGTAATATCCAGCTTTATATACTCTATAATTGCAAAGTATTAGTACAATATACTATAGCTCCTAGTAGGCCTAGCCCTTAATGCTGATTCAGTATTGCACAAAGTACAAATAATATTCATCTGTCTTAAAGTTTAGTGTATATCTTACAAAGCTTCACCTGTGTTTACATTTGCAGCTTAATCTCTTAATTTCTTTTATACTGTTACTATTGATGAATCCAAGACTCAAGGTGGCTAATGTAACTTATGAAGCAAAGGGTCACACCTTGTAACTAGAGGTGTAATACATGTGAAGTACTAACTAAGGTTGATATACAACCTGTAACTATTAATACAGTCTATCCTGTTTAAGAAATACTAGATGATAATGTAGGAGCAAAGGGAGTATTACAGATTATAGTATAAGATAGGTTACCAAAATTGCTACAACTATTAGTACATTTGAAAGAAACAATAGCTCCATTAAGTAGATTCCACATTATTTAACAATGTGAGGTAGTTCCTGTCTACAGACCTAGAGTACAACCTTTGTATTTCCAGTATTGATTGAGACAAAGTAGGGAAGCTAATAGTATACTAACAATTATGTATAATAGAATAATACAGTCAATACACTTGTTTATCTCTTACTAGAGACTTATTAAGAACACAAATTTAGAAAGCCACTCTATATATTTTATTCTCTCATACTTACTAGAGTGTTTTAGACTTGTAGTCCTTCTGTTATTTCTAAAGAAATGACTTTCTATCTTCTTTTTACCTTTTGCTAATAATGTATATATGTATTTGGATATTAGAGTACTCTCTACACTTTCAATTATTATAAAAATCATAGAGTAAAGTTACAATGTCCTCACCTAAGATTATTTTCTGTATTTGCTTAAACTAAATAAGTGAATACTGTACTGTATAAATCTGAATGGCTAATCAAGTATACTACAATACTACACACATATATATATACAAAGATACAAGGAAGTAGTATTAACATAGTCTATAAGAATACTTCTGAAGGACTGAAGGAAGAGATACTTTAATTGCCTACCCTTACCTGTCTAATCCCTTAGTTTTACTAGAATAATATTGGGTAATAGTCTTACAAGATTCACTTTATTATTTACTCTTCTTAAGTATAATTAATATTATAGTAGGAGAGTTAATTAGACCTGTGACAAGGAGAGAACAATCTGTACAACTTGTCTCTAGTATAGTATGTACAAAGAACTTTGGATTAGATTGACTTAGCTGCTTGGTCACAAATCTCCCTCCTTAACTATTAGTGTTAATTTAAATCTTATTTAAATAGATAAAAACATAGTATTACTCAAACTATTACTACTACTGTTTATAATACAACAAAATAGTTTGAGAAAGTGTTTTCTTTATTTTATTTCAGTATCTACTTCCTGTAGTAGAAAAAGACTTTTCAAGTATGCTCTATTTTAGAAATTTAGACAACTAATTTGTTCAGTTTAGTTAGGCTTTTCTTTACTGATTATAAGTTCTATATTGTTCTACATAGTCCTGTACTTGAGCAGGAGACCATGTCCTGTTAGAAGCTACAGAATCTGAATGAGATGATGTCTACTAAGGAACCCTGTTTGGCCCAGTAGTTAATATGTACTGTAGTGTATATCTACCAGATTTCTAGGTACTCTAAGTAGTAAAATATAGATTTGTATATGTATGTGGTTGGCTAGTTGTTAACAGGTTTGGTTGATACTGTGTTGCTGGAATTTTGTATGTATACTTCTGACTTGTCAAACTTTCTTTTGTACTTGTTCCTTTGTTTTTAATTCTCTTAGTTGACTCCTCTGTGTCTGTTTCATTAGTTGTACTTCCTTCACTTAATGTATCTCTGCTGGAATCTGAATAATATTGCTTTCCATATCCTTCATCTTTTTGTGCTTCCTTCTCCCTTTCTTCTTGTTCCTTGTTCTCTATAACAAGCTTCTCTATTCTTTTATTTACTGCCTCTATAAGTACTCTACAAATTTCATCTTTTATTACTTACTCAACCTCATCATTACTCTTTCCTTTTTTTCACAGCTTAGTCTCTTTCACAACTGTATTAATAAGGGCCCTTCCAAAATAGTCACAAACCCTGCTAGGAATTATATACTCCTTGTCTTTTTCCTTGTCAAGAATTGTTTTACATATTTCCTGAAACTATAATATTATAAATCAGCTCAGCAGTGTATAGTAACTGAAAATAAGACAATACTAACTTTACTCCATGCCTGTGCCTTTACCTTCTTCACCTTGGGTGAATCCTTTATTTTATCAGGATGGAAGTCTAGCTAAGGATTACAGATATAAAAATCATTTCAAGTCAGTCATACAAAGAATATTTAACATACTCTCATAAACTTTAGGACTTTAAGAGCTTTTTCTGACTATAAGTGATTTAGTAGCCCCAGCTCTTGAAATAATGAATCTATGTACTTTGTATACACAGAGACATTATCTCTATTATCCTTAAGCAAGTTTTACTAATAATTTTGTTACTCAGAGTGTGCCTTTAGTAATTCTTTCCATTTATCCTTCTTCTTAACTGTTTGATATTTACCTTTCTCCTACTGGTTTGTTCTTACCTTCTACCAGACCTCTCTGCACTATTGCCCCTGTTGTTTCAACTTCTAGATTCTAGTGAGTCCTTTAATAGGTTCTCTACTGTTCTATTTACAACCCTTCTAGAATGTTCCTGTGAAGGTATCTTGAACATCTTGTATATATGTTACTGAAATAAGAATAGCTCTATAATTCACAATGTTATTTATCCATTTTATAGCCTTTTTCTCAGTACAAAGGAGTACTATAGTAATATCTAGCTTTAAATTACTAACATCAATTTGCACACTGTACAAATATGGTTAGTGTTCATTTTACACTACAATGTATACCTTATAAAGCTTTATCTTTATCCATGTTTGCATCCACTTCTCTTACATTCCTTTGTATTTTTAATATTAATGTTATTATAGACTAGGCTGACTGAGCCAACCTACAAAGTAAGGATTCTGCTCTGTAACAAGTAATACATTATACTCTTTACTCTTTATACTAGCTAAAACTGTGTGAAACATAGTTAATTCTATCTTAATTAAGAAAGACTAGATTAGCATATAGAAGTAAAGGGAATACTACAGATTATACTAGTAATAAGGTTACTAAAATTGCTACTACTATCAGTACAGTTAAAAGAAACTACTATACCAAGCAGTTTCCCTATTACATATTGTAAGACCTGTCTAATTGTCTAATTCTTAGTATTAGTGTATATCCTTAGTAGTCTCTTATTTTATAAGGCAAAGGAATGGGTTTAGTGTTTTCTGGTTAATAGATTATCTGGTTTTGTCTACAGATTATACTGCTATCATTTTAAATTTATACAATAGTATAACAGTACTTAATATACTTATTTTGGTTCTTATATATACTTCACTCTTACTGACTCATTTATAAGTTACTTTCTTTATTTTTATAGCAATCCAAAGTAAGCAATCTCTTAACTCAATATAACTATATACATTATTCTACCAAAGCCCCATTTTGCTTCTAACAATTATTCTTATATAGTATTACTTAGATTCTTTATTTATCCAGTATCAAATAAAACATAACTCAAGTATTACATTATATTTTGTTGTTTAACTATCTAGACTGACCTTCATCTGAATATTCAATCAACTGTACTCTACTTCAATTTTTTACGTGCTGATTAATTGCATTATACAATTATACTGTCACTCGAAGTGAAAATAGCTTTGTACAATATAAATAAGCAAATTTTGGTTATAGCAAAACTTCTTATCAACACGTAAGTATCAAGTAACTGTTGAACGCCACATCGAGATGAGCTTTGCACGTCACTCAGATACGTTCGGTCTGTAACTAAATTACGTGTTTCATGTATTCATACCCGAAACAAGCCTTCTAGCTTTGCTGACATGGAAGAGGGTGGATGTCTAGTATTTCAATGCTCCCAGTCACAGCAGATATTATCTAACCTGTCTAGCACATGGGGTAAAGTGCTTCAAAGTTTGGCTTTTGTTTTGTTCACGGACTTTATCCACGGACGGGGACTGTCAAACTCCAGAAGTACTCTATCTCTTTGTACTATAGAACTAGCTTATAAGGCTTGACTGACAATAAATTTGTTTGAATGTACATATTTTGATATAGCTTCATATCAGCCATGATATCACGAGTTATATCCACGGCTTGTGTGAATCTCACGAAGAATAAAATGCATTCTTCATTCAAAATAGTACAGCGAGGAAAAAGCTACATAATATACCCTTATACAACGTTACGTTCACCCAGTTGCATTGCACGGTCCTGCCAATGTTGTCATTAAAATTGAAAAGCAAAGCAAGTTTGATCAGTCCACGTCATCTTCGCCAGAACTTTGATCAGACTAAAAGAAACCAAAGAAACACACCTGGAAGCCCAGATATACTCTCCACATTGTCACAAATGAACTGCGGAGACTGGTCGTTCGGCGTAGAGATGGAGAAGTCTTGGAACGTGATGTCCGGACAAGGTGCGTTTGCGCTGCACTCTATGTCGACCACTACAGTAATAAATTTGTAGCGGGTGAGGTATTAGAAGGGTAAATAAGAACCAGCAAAGGAAAAAGAGAAAGCTTACGTCTATTTGACGTTGACGTCCCTGCCCAGTCTGCATAGTGCAGGTCGCCGAATTGGAGGAACGAGGGTGTATCGCCCCTGCCAGCGGACCCGCAGAATTGTCAGCTTCTTTATACATACTATCGAAGCGAGATACTGACGAATGCCCTCCATTAGTCTGATACAAGTGCGTTGGCAAGTCTACTTGGTCCAAGGAAAAGTTCTTCATCGTTACATTGCTTACATGGCCTATCGCAGAAGATAGCATCACAAATTCTCAAAAAGGAGTAATGCGACGGACGTACCACCCCCGCCACCTCCACCACTCGGAGGTTCTCCGTTCACAGTTCCTGTCCACGACTTGAAATACACCTGACAGATAACTCCTAAGGGGATGATTTACTAAAAAGGACTTGCGACTTACTCCATTGTTCATGTTTGGTTGGATACTCGCGTTAATCCTGAGCAGCTACGAAAGACGAAGCTCATAGTGAATAATCGAAGAAAACTGAGGGAAAGCGTCAATGTGAACATACCGTGAAATCCTCAAGTGTCACATTCTCTACAATATCGTTCTGCGATTCAAACAGACAGCCGTAAGCCGTAAGACTCTCATAAGAAATACATATAGAAAGCTCGAGTTCCTACCAATCCAACGTATTGCCCCAACGACCCAAACGCAACACCGTTGCCGCCACGACATGTATAGTTCTTCGCGTGAAGGTTCGTCGTATTCTACTAACATTAATTCGACCTGAAATCCTAAGATGTCAATAAGATCGAGTACGTACACCTTTTACTGCGAGACAATCGTCTCCACATGTCACCTATCGAAGTGTGAATTGAGTTCCGACGTACAGGTTGATAGGAGGGAGCATTTGTGATATGAGGAAAGCTGAGAGAAGAGAAAAGACGTACGTCCCAGTTGAGAAGCTTGACATTGTCTGATCTGTACGTGTTCATTCCTGACAGCGTGTTAGGCCCAGCTACCTAAGGGATAGCGAAAACCAAACATACCATCCGTATTCGGTACGATACTATCCCCCAAAAATCCACCACAGACGAATTAATTTCTCTTCACAAACCACCACTTACAATAAAAACACACTCACTTCTGCCCAAAAAACTCCTCATTCCCATTCGTAGCATTATACACCATCCCATCATACACCACATCCTTCGACATCGCCACAGTATTACACCAGAACGGTGGAGATTGAATATAGAAGTTGCGTATTTGTGCGTGGGTGGATTGGAGGAGGGTGAGGGAGAGAGGACGGCCGTCGCCGTCTTGACGGGTGTGGGAGGTGAAGTAGTTCCACCCTGGCTGCACGGGGGTAAACGGTTCAGAGCTAGAAACAGAGGAAAGTTATTAGTTAAGGGACGGACGCACTTGACCGTTCCCATTTATCCCGCCTACATTGTGCGCGTCGATGATGAAGTTGCTTCCGGAGACGACGAACCAGGATGCTTGACTCTGTATTAGTGCTCCGCACCGTAGCGTAATTTACGGATACGCCTGCAGCGTATACGCTTACGCACCGTATCGTAAGAGAAAATTTTAGCTGAAAATACACGCGTATATTTACGCGCGTATGCGTATACCATGAGTAAAAAATTTCCGTATACGCCGTATACGAGTATACAGTATTACTAAGCATATTCTCTAATTAAATACTAAGTTTGAGTTTCTAAACCTCATTTACTTTACTTATTTATATACCAAATCATTTTAATACTATATAACAACCTTGTTTAACTTAAAAAGTACTAGTATGAGTA